ACACCATTAAACGTCACCCTTAAGGGGCGGTTCTTTTCTTTCTCATATTTTCCTATTCTTCTAAAATCACTGACATTTTCCTTTGAGCCTTCTCCTAAACCTACTATTTTCTCTATGATTTTCATCTCTTCTGCCGCTCGGTCCACCCTAGATGAAATTTCCTTCTCTAAACATCCAAAAATGATTATGGACTTAGTTCTATCTGCAGTGTTTTGTACCAGTTTACTGTTGGTAACCAGTTCTTTCCTAATTGCTTGCCTAATTTCTGCTTCTTGTTGGTCATTTCTGGTTTTGACTTCTGAACACACTTCTTTGATAGTCTCTTTCTCTTTTACAACTTCAGCATATGTCGCTTTTATTTCTTCTTTATTCTTTTCTAGTTCTTTATTCACCTCCTCTATGTGAGTTGACAGTGAAGTTTCCAGTTGGAGATCCTTACCTAACTCTATGTTAGCCCTTAGGCTTGCTTGGAGTTGTTCACCATATGAGTCTATCTTCTTGTTTATTTCTTCAAAGTCACCACACTTCACTTTCCATGCCTCATTTTCTTTCACTAGTTCCTTGATTTGCTCCTCCTGATTTGTTACCTTGTCTGTTAATGCAGTAATAATCTTACCTTGTTGCAGCATACTCCCTTTTAGAGTGCAAAGCTCACTCCAAAGAGATCCATTGTCCTCTTCTAATTTAAGCACTTTTTCTTCATACTTCTTTTGCATGTCCTCAATTATCTCTAACCTGCCAAGAACACCTCCTTTCCTTATATCTTGTGTTGAGAATCCTTTGAAACCATCATCTGATGGTGTGTCTACCTTCTCAGTGGGGGTGGTGGCGGCGGCCATCTTTGATTTTGTTCTAGACCAAAACAAACTTTTCCACTCGGCTATTTTCACTCAGTTTTACTTGTTTATTGTATTTTATTTGCTTTTACTCTTCCCTGAACCTTTATGTTACCTGGGACACCACTGTAGCCCTCAACCAGTTCCCAATACTTAGGTAATTCGATATTTCCAGGAGCTTGCTGCAGTGTGACTTCTGCCTCCTCCAGCTTCACCTCACCCCCATGTGTGTGTGTGTGTGTGTGTATGTATGTATGTATGTATGTATGTATGTATGTATGTATGTATGTATGTATGTATGTATGTATGTATGTATGTATGTATGTATGTATGTTTCCCTGGTCTCTTGCTTGGGGACTCATTTTTCTCAGGTCATCTGCAGTGCCATCAAATTTTGCCAGCCTGCAGTTTTTTCCTTTGATATTTGTTTGTTTTCATTCTGCCTGCAGTATTTTTTAATATTTCATGGACAGATGTTTGGGTTATTAACCTTCCTGGTACACTCCTGGCTTCTTATGCTTTGGGGCAGTTCACTAGTTACTAATTCCCATTTTATGAGGGTTACTTTTTGTGGCTCATATCTACCCCCTGGTAAGTTCCCCTTTTGTTTTGTTCTCAATGCAAATTGAGGACTGCTCCACCCACAGGAGCAGTCCCAGAAAACCAACATTGAATGTAATGAAACTCATCTTTCTGGTGGGTCCTTGGTGGCTCCTTGGGACCATCCCTCTCCCATTCAGGGGTTTCAGTCTTTTCATCTTCTTGTTTAAAATACTGAGGTTCAAGGCTAAGGAATTGAGAAGGAATGGCAGAGTTCCTTGGTAGGGTGCAAGTTGAACTAATGAGAGCACTGCTTCTCGACTGGGTGGTTTGTTAATTCTGGGGGTGTGTTATCACTATTTCTATGCCTTGTTTACTTTGCTGATGGAATGTTTTGACTTGCCCTTCTTCTGGTGGCATTTTCTTAGTGTCCTAGGATCCCCTGCTCCTTGTGCCTCTTTAGGGGGAGCCAGGTTTTGGCCTCTGGTCCCTATTAGACTATCAATGACTCACAAGGACCTGGTGTGAATTGAATTTGCTGAAGTTATCCAGGTAGCTAGCACAAAGGAACCACCAGAAGGAGGCATTTTATTAAATTCAATGCTGATCTTTTGAAGTTAACTATAACCTTGAAATTGGTGTCATGCAATTTGCAATGCATCAGTGGTTCCAAGCAAGGGCAGCAGTCAAATAGTGATGCACCAGACATTGTGCCCATCGTTTCACTAAGACCCAGGATGGAAACTAAGGTTTTCAGGATTTTTTCTAACATGGCAAACGATTACAAGAAGTCTCTAATGTCAAATGACGTCTCCATAAAATCGGATAAAATTATGAATGTTATGGGGAATGTCTAGTCTCGCAGGCAATTAGGTATTTTGCTATTGCTGGGCACAGGCACCTATTGCTTGAAAGCAATGGAGGCAGTTTTAAGAGCTAATTATCATCACTCATGTTCCAACCATTTATTTGTGTTTATCTTTTACCCTGATTCTACTCTACTCCTTTTTTTTTTCTACTTCATATTTAATTGTACTGTACAGTACTACAGTACAGTAGATTATTTGTAGTTTAACCACTGTGCTGCGCCGTGTTTAGTGGAACATTTCCCGTGTGCCAAAAATCAGTGTTCCCAACAATTTTTTTTATCTATGTAAAATGATAAATCCCCTTCCCTGAACATATACATGTTAAAAAACTAATACTGTAAATTTAACTTACTTTGGCTGTGGGGACGTGGAGAAGGGAGCTTGTGATATTTATTGTGCACCCGTGCGTGAAGCTCTCAGTGGCGGTTGCACAAGCAATTCAAACACCGTTAGTTGCCACAAATATATTTCCAATTACTTGATCTATGTATTTCCAATGCGGTTTTATTTGTTTGTTTTTTTATCGTATATGATGCATATTTGTGTTCTTTACAATATTGATACATTAGAACTTCTATAATGTGCCATGGAACTGTGGTGCATGTCAGTAATGTGTCCACAATAAATGTTTATTTTGCAATATTACTTCTTCAAAATTCACTGAAATTACAATATGTACAGTTTCACATACACTACACAGTAACACACTATTACACACTCAGTACTTTGGAAGTGAGTGATAATCAAGGAAACTGTTCATGGTACACAGTGCGACTTCGTTCTCGATGCAGGTACAGATTTTTGCTTCCTGTTTCTTTGTTCTGTGTGTTTGCAAATAACTCACTCACATACACCCTTGGCTTTAGTACCTGTAAGTGGTATGTAGCCAAGCTTGTGAAATGTAAGGTAGTCTTGAAAAGATCACTTTGTAAGGTATTGAGGAAGAGATTGTCATTCTGGAAGAGATTCAGCTATTCTCGACATGGTCGATGGAAAACATCACCATGGAAGTTGTCAACACTATTCATCTATGCTACTTGTATCGGATGCATCATCATTGAACTCAGAAAACGATTCATTTATGTATCATCTATAAAAAAAAATTGGAAATAATACGGATGAGCAAGAGTGGAGCAACTGGTTACGCTCGCTATATCGTCCTCATCGGTGCTTTATGACTTGCATCCGACCCTTATGTTAGGACCTTATTGTGCCTAGCTTCATCAATATCATAACCTTTATGTTCTTCAAACAATAAAGTCTGAATTTCATTGATGGAGAACGCTCTTTCAACATCGCATCCGACAGATGTTTGGGAGCCAGAGGCACATGTCCCACCCTTGGTTGCTCATTCAGAACTGATCCTGCCAGCAGGCCTAGGGAGATCTGGTAATTTTTTTCTAGATGGCTGCCTCTCACTGAAAGTACCAGGAGTCTATTTTGTACCCAACCTACCGAGCTTGCATTTCGACTGTACGAAAAAATAAAAAATACTTTTATTGGGTGGCACATTAACACTTTCGCGCTCTCGGCGCTAAAAAAAAAACAATACCCCAGATGCTTTCGGCACTTCGTGCGCCTACGCGGTAAGACCGAAAAGTGTACACTCTTTTGACTGTCCTGACAATAATTGAAGGCGCACGTATTTAAATTTGGTATCACTATGTTCGCAATGAAATTGTCTATAAGAGCATACCTATAAAATGCCGCCCAAGCATAAGGAGTATCAACACCAAATAAAAAACTATGCAGATCACTCGCCGAGAGCGCCAAACAGCAACAAAATGTTTCCACTCTCTTAATGGTTGCGAAGCCTACAGTTGTCCTACATCGCTAATTTTGGTATCATTGGAATCGCAATAAAATTCTCTACACGGACATATGCATATGAATGTTTAATATAGGTAATTGCCCACCCGCAAGAGTGTGTGAAGTGGAGAGTAGTTAGCCGCGAGCGCACTGGCGAAAACACAGGGGGGAAATCATGCTTGGAAAGTTTATACGTTTCCTGACCCTACTTTTCTATGTACGTATTTCTTTTTTATACCAATGTGTTCGCAATAAAATTTTCTATAAGATGAACTGTATAACATTTGTACAAAGCATGTGTAAGAGAAGCGCCAAATATAGAACCACGTCGCTCAGTATGCGTTCACGGCAGAAACGAACGCATTGTTTTCGTTCGTTTGATGTTTGTCATGTTTATACTTGTTGAAACATTTTATAATTTGTATGACAGTGATCGCAGTAAAATTCCCTACACAGACATATACATAACACATACAAATATTTCCCACGTGTTGGATATATCAACGGCTAAAGGAAACCCACTGCCACACGCTCGCCACACCCCCAAACATACTTTGTGTATTTTTTTTTTTACTCATAGAAGTTTATGTGATATAATATTCATTCTGGTACCAAAACATTCGCAAATAAATTCCCTACAAAACAAAAGTATCCCCATCCATTTCGGTTAAAAAATGGAATTTATAGAAATATTTTTTCGATGGACGAGAAAACTTGGCTGTTATGCGGAATCGTAAGAGAAAACGGCGACGAGTTATCTCTAATCTAAAGCGCGAAAGTGTTAATGGGCAAGCAGCATCTGTTGTTTGGCGCAGTGCAGTGGTTAATCATCTAGTGACATGGTTCGCTTTTGCTAGGGGACCTAATATAAAGTTATAAAATAGTGATCTGTAATGCTGCATTTGTTTATTTGGGTGAAATTACTTGAATTTGAATCTATTTTCAGAAATGGGCAAGAAATTCGGTGAATTGGCATATGTGAGGGGTATCATCAAATACTCTCTTTCTCCTTTTGAGCAAAAAGCATTTGCTGGAGCGATTAGTCATGGACTTCCTAATTTATTCAGAAGGTTCCGCAGCCAGGTTTTCCGTGTTGCTCCCCGTAAGTACTCTAATAAGCTATTATACAGTAATAAAAAATATATATGCTAGTCTTGTCTTCGTGTAGGTGCAAGTCTATTTTGTTTAAAATGCTTTTCAAAATAGTGTGTTCTGTTCTCTATAGCCCAAGGACTTACTCCTTGCCAGGAACACACTTGCTGGCTGGCCACAGAAGTGTCTCTATGTAGCTCTGTCGCCACACAAACATTTCTCTCCAGGAGGCTCTTAACTCCTTCCCCAACTCTTGCATGTACAATATTGTTCTGTCTCATCCAAAATACTGTTTCTGCCTCTATCATATGCTCCTTTTGTAATATTTCACCCTTGTACACCCTTGTTAAACAGTTCTCAAGCATCCAACTGACATGCCCATACCACCTACCTACCATATATCCTAGAGTAATAGTTGAATGCAAGAGTCAATTCCTTATTTTGGCAAAAAAATTGAAATTTTCCATATACTGTTCAGTACCTTATGTGAAACCTTATGTGTACCTTATGTGTACCTTAATCCTTACCCTAGGATTGCACATATAACAAGTCAACGTTTGTGGTTCAAGGCATTATCGTGTACATAGAAATAAGTTACAAAATCATCATGAATTTAAGTCAAATTTATACATTTTCAAATAGTAAAATAATAATTCAGTGGCGCCTTGATTAACGAATTTAATCCGTTCCGGCACCGAGCTCGTCATGTGAAACGCTTGTCTTGCGAAACAACAACACTGTTGTCGGAGGCGTCCGAGAACCAGCGGGAACGCTAGGAAGCCCCATGTAGTTTGCTCGTTAATCGAGCAAGACAGACAATTGACCTTCAACTTTTGTCTCTTGCATACACTTTCAAATTTGTTCACAATTCTTTACAATATCTTCTCAGTCTCAGTAAAGAGCACTAAATCATCTGCATTCAAACATGTCAGCAATTTATCCCACTCACAAATTCACTTATTGTGTTCTTGCCCTTATTTAACCTATTCATAAATGTACTCTATATACAGTACTGACACCCCACATTGTTCCCCTCTACATACATCAAGGATGCATACCTGGGAAAATAAGAGCATAAGTTAAGACTTTTTTTTTCCAAATGTGGGTCACGTCTTCCAAGTAATTTGTGTCTGGTCTGTTGCCGTAACTGTAACCAAATAAATACTACTTAGTTACAGAAGGCGAAGGTTTTTATGTTGTGGTCATCCATGTTAATTATTTCCAAGAAGAATATGATTTGGATACACTGTATAGTAGTCTACTAGGTACATACAGACTTACATCCATACTTCTCTATTCTATCCTACTTAATTTTATTTATAGCACCCATTTATGTACCCTGTGTTATTTATATACAAATACAGGTGTGTATTAATTCAGCTAGTTTTAATAGTATAAATGGTTTTCTAATTATTTTTCCATTTTGATAATTATACATCCATCAGTCTTGAATATTTTACCATCAGAAATTTGTTGATTAATAGTTTTTTCGTCAATACTGTACTGTATTCATTATTGAGCAAATTGTATTTGAAATGGTTTATTCTTTTCTCTTAATATACAGAAGGCTAATATTTGTAGTTATCCCTATTATTCACATGCTAAATTTTTATTTACTGGTGAGCTTCAGAAGATCTCTAGTAACTTGTGTTATTTAATTTGTTTATAGTTTACACTAAGTATTGCACTAAGTATTGATGTTAATCTGGTCATTTATTGTTTCTCTACTACAGCTTTTGTAATTGCCTATATGGTCTACACTGCAGTTGAGAATAGACATGAACAATTGATGAGAAAAAATCCTGCTGATTATGAAAATGATGTGTAATTGAGAATTGGAAATTATTTTTTATTTTAAGAGATCTGTAGAAGTTTAAAATGATTTTGCATTCATGTAATAAATTAGTACTGTATAATACAAATTTTCTTTAGAGATTTGTTTTTCACATGCTAAATATTGTATGCCTGAGTATAATGAAGTTGAAATAGTGTACGTGACTAAACTTTTTGTTCATATTTTGTATATAAAATCAGGCTAAATTAAACCAATATTGTACATATTTCTTGAGTATTTTTTGTCACCTTACAAATAATAGGAATTAAAAACAATTTAACATGTACCAGAGAAAAAAGGTGTTGTGAAAACAGGGGTATATAAATATATGGGTGTGCTTCTGACAATTAAAACTGTATTTTAAAACAAATCCTGTTATGGGCATGAGATGCAGATAAAAAAATTCATACAAAATGGTCCTACAAATAATTAACTTCTTGCTACGTTATGGTAATGTCATACAGTACAGAATACTGATTAATAAACTTGTATATCCTTAATTATGGGATAATTTAAAATATTCGATGAAATACAAATTACTAAACATATTTAATAACTAATGTAAATGTAATATTCTTTTCATATTGTGTGTACATTATGCTAGTTGAGTTCCTACATGAGTAATGTGAGATGCATTTCTGATTATGTAATGATGGTAATAATGATAATTTAATATGGAGAAAACTGAGTATCCACCATCCTACTTTACCAGTTATTCCCATTGACCTCATTTTGTATGCTATCACTCCATGGTCACATTTATCGAATGCCTTTGCGAAGTCCATGTATCCCGTCCTATACCTATGCATACCATTTAATAACAAAACGTATTTTACAAATGAACCAAGGTTAGCTAATCCTAGCATATCTAGACTAAAAATGGTTGCATGATATAATTTACTGTACAGTACTTTCATGGGTATTTGCCTTGGTAATACAGTACAGTATTGTATTTTAAATTTCTGATGTTAACTTTATATTGGTTATTTGTTTCTTGATTTGGTAGGCCTTTAGTCAAGTTATTGAAATGCTGTACAATACTGGACTATATTTCTTGCTAAAATTAACTTTTTCTTCAGCATTAAAATGTCAAACAAAATATATACTGGTGGGCTGGTGTCAATGTATACATCAATATGTGTACAACATATGTAATATTTTGTAGTCATACTAGCTCTATAGCTCTCATAGAAAATTTTATCCCAAAATTTTAAAATTAAAAACTGACTTTGTTAACTAATTAATTAATTACAGGTATATCACCAGTGTGTGTATATATAAATTCCTCGAGCGTTTTCTGAAAGTTCATCATTCGTTCATCATTCTGAAAAATACAAGAGACAAATCTCGTGTGGCAATATACTGTGCTTAGTGGCTGTATGGGTTTTGAGGTGCATCTGGTATGCTAGTACTGTACACCTGTTTTGTCTAATTTTAAAGTTACAAATATTCAGTGGGAAAGAGAGGGCATGCAAGTTTTATTCCAGTTAGAAATCTGCTCTATAAATAGTGGAAGATAAACCGATTGTACAATGTTGCAAAATCCTTAAACATTGCAGTACAGTACTTTGCTGTAATTGGATGTAATGTATTTGAATGAAATCACAAACTATATCTACAGCCGAGTACTGAATTAGAGGATTCACTTTTTCATTCTACTTAACTCCTAGAAGAATGTAGGCGACCTTTAACCAATTATACAGTATTGCCTTCAAGTGAAACAGTCAAAATATAAAGAATTGGTTATAGTTAATGCTACCTTATTAAAAGGCAGAGAGTACCTGAAGAGATAATAATTAATAATAAATACTGTGTATAGATTTCATATGCATTGTGCTCATAGATGCACCTTGTAATATCAACTGGGAATTTAAATTAAATAATATACATGAGACATGAATCTTTGTAATAAAAAATTTAAGTTTTTACAGTGCATACTACACTGTCCCCTCTACAATAAACAAATACAGTAACTCAGATGATTTAAGAAAGAAGGATATGAAAAAAGAACCACACTTGGCCTAGTAACAAAGATACCCTTCAACACTAATAATAATAATAAAAAAATAAAAGCTAAAGTAACCTCTAATAAAAACCAGATTTAAAGCAGCAAATGGAAATATGAAAACACAGAACAGCGATCTTAACACCCTGGGATTCAAATGACGCCTACAACAAACCTTAAACTTCAAAAGACCAATATCATGACCTCAGATTTTTAAAGTTACTGAACTAGGGAAAAAGTCTTGTATACTGTCCAGAAATAATTAGAAAATATACAATCCATATGCAATATGGGTGGCAATTGTCATACATAGAGGAAAATGATCATAGCAATAGCCCCTGGTAGAACTTATGTTACAGGGAAAGTTACTTAGCTGCAGGTCATGATCAAAGAAGAGACTACAGGTGCTGGGTTAATGACAGAAGAGTGAGGGGATTGGCTGGTTAAGACCTTATGTGACCTATGGTGCCATGCTGTCACGTGCAACAGTTAGAGTATTTACGTAGGAGTGCCAAGTTTTTTCAATCGTGTTTATTTTGTTGCAACTATACTTTCCAGAGGATTTTTCCCAGTTTTATGGTTGATTTTGGATTCACTGCTTCCCTTGTTTTGTAAAAAGCCAGATTCTGGCCACTGGCTTCTGATAAGTAGTGGATGGGTCTTGGAGGCCTATTATATAGTACTATACTAAGAATTAATAAAACCAGCGCCGAGTATGGGGGACCCTTGAGAAATGGGCATTTCATTACATTCAATACCTGATTATATTGCACAGATTTCTTATGACTTGCACTGTGAAAGCCCAAGTTATTAAAAACATTTGATCTGAAATTAGTGTTACTTTGAAATCTCACCTTTAAAATGCTACCCATTCATACATATTTCAAATATAATACCGTACTGCGTTAGACTGCATAAAAAAAGATAAGCACACTTCACTATAGTAGAAGCTTTCAGGTACAGTACTGTACTGTACAGTATATAATGTACCAATAATGTCTCCCACCGGTAACTTTCCCACAGTGCAATTCATTCGTTAGCATGCAAGAACAGACAGAGTGCTCTAATTGGTTGGTGCCTAAGAACTTGCAGAAATATTGAGAACTTAAATAAAAAAAACTAAACAGAACTATGCAATTGAAAATAATTAAATATGTACAGTACTATACATGACAAATAAAAAAAAATCAGCTTAGTGAAGTATCATTTGTTACAGGCCAAAGGATGCATCATTGATTTAAATTGAGGTTTTTCTGTAAATATATCAAACTTGTGCATTTCTGATCTTGGATCTACCAAATGCAACTGCTCGTATGTACAGTAAAGGTTCAATAATATTTACCTTTCTTCCTAAGAGTGTGTGTAGGTCACTATGTGGTGGTAAATGTGGAGTGGGAGAAATGTGAAGCAAAGAGTAGCCAGAGAGGGCTGCCAGTGCTTCTTCACACATCAGCACTGCAGCAGCTGCATCCCAGCTCTCCACGGTACTTCGGAGTGCAAGACGAGCATGGCTAGCAGCAACCTGGGCTCTAGAGAGAACATATAATAGTTAGGTACTCTGTCTTATAGTCCAGCATACCAGACAGAGTGTCTAGTTAGGCATTCTGTCTTATATTTGTAACCTTTAAATAATACTGTACTGTATAATCTAAAAGTTATATAGAAGAAAATGGCTGGTGCTATGAAAATCTAACTGGAAAAAATTATGAGATAATGGGGAGACCTTAGACAAACCACAGGCTTCCTATTGAGGCCTCTTAGAGTTGGTGGTCCTCGGAAAAATTCAGATAAATAGATGTTCAGCATATTGTACCTGCTCTTATATACTGGTGAGAGATGCTGGTGACAAGAGCATTAAGAATCCAGAGCGGCTGTGGAAGTGAACAGTCCTGATAAGTGCTAGTGGGACGATACTGTATTAGGTATGAAAGAATTGTGGAAATATTTGGAATGCAAAATACTGGTATGCTGGACTATTAAGACAGAAGGCATGGTCATTAGAATATTTTGATGATTTAGGAAAGTTTGTACATGTGAAGATATAAAGAGAAGGAATGAGCAGACGTGTGGATGAGGTAACCTGAATTGAGTCTGAACATAGATGATTAAAGCACATGGCTAGGTGGAATCAAAGAGTTGAGAAGGAGCAAATATTCTAGGATGTGTGTGTGGCAGTCATGAGGTAGACTAAACTCCTATATATCCCTATTTATCTTATCTCTCTCATCTCTTTCTCCTTCCATACATTCATCTTCAGAGGAGTGGGCTGCCATGTATGGCTTGTGTTTGCAGTTTCTGCTTGGAAAATTTGTCATTCAGCATGACTCCCCCCTGCTCTCAAAGTATATTCCTTTTATATATTTCTACACAATACAATAATACTCAACCATATTTCCACGATGGAGAAAGAGAGGTATTTTTATCTGACAGTAAACTCTGTGCCTTGAAACATGATGTATCCTATTGGCATTTTCCGTGTCCTCAATAAAACGGTAAACATTAATGAAAGCTATTTTCCGTGCAGTGTGTGTACACCAACCAATTCTCACACTAAATGCATCCATCGATATCTGTATGCAAGAAATACAAGCACAGTATACAGAACTTATGTACAGTACAGTCCTTTGAAGAATTGAGTAGAAATTGTACTCGAGCTTCAACCATACATGACTGAAGGACATCATAAAATTTGTCCAGTTGACCACCATGAAAATGGGCTGGTGTATCTTGTCAATTTTGCATAACGTTAAACAGATATTGTTGAGGATGTGAATGAAACAAAAATCTGTACAATGAAAATAGTGTGTTAGCTTACATAGATTAAAACTGATTATCTAAATGTGCTACATACAGTGTGTTTATAGCAGTAACAGGTACAGCAGAACCCTGTACACAGTCTCCACGAAGCCTCCTGGTGGCCACATAATAACCTCGAATCAATGTCTCGGCCTTGGTGCTGAACACAACCTGTAGACCTCGCACCATACATAAGTACTGCAGGGAAACAAATATGGATAATTTTCAAGAGGTAAGTATGAGTTACATATAATACTGATCAATAATTGTTGAAAGCTTATAGGAAGATATATATATATATATATATATATATATATATATATATATATAAATAGTATATATATCACTTGTGCCCCAAAGAACGAGGTGATATATATATATATAAATAGCCTCGGCTATCACCTCATGGTCAAGTGGATTAAGGCGTCTTGTACATACCATTGCGTTGCTTCTGGGATCGAGTCACTTCTGGGGTGTGAGTTTTCAGTGTACATATATATATATATATATATATATATATATATATATATATATATATATATATATATATATATATATATATATATATATGCGAACAAGCCAGAATGGTCCCCTGGACAATATGCAACTGAAAACTCACACCCCAGAAGTGACTCGAACCCATACTCCCAGAAGCAACGCAACTGGTATGTACAAGACGCCTTAATCCACTTGACCATCACGACCGGACAAAATGAGGTGATAGCCGAGGCTATTTGAACCACCCCATGGCACTCGGATAGTTATCTTGGGCATAGCATTTTACCATCACCTCATTCTTAGGGGCACACGTGAGGAACACAAAATTTTATCCTGGGGACCAGGACAATATATTTTTGTGTTCCTCACGTGTATAAGATGAGGTATGCTATGCCCAAGATAACTATCCGAGTGCCGGCGGTCAACTTACAACATATTCAATGTGATGATCTCAACTGTCATGCAGATATGATGTGAAGTCGTCTGCATGCATTACTCTACTTCAACTCCATACCAACTTTGGTATATTGCTTCACTATGTCCTTCCACCCCATGTCATTCTAATTTAATTCCTTCCCTTTAAGTATTGAAGAACTAGGGTTTCAGTGCTTTGTTTTTATAAATTTCACTATCCAATTCCCCTTTCCTTTTTTTCACTTGCTTACACACTTTTCTTCTGAACTATCCCACTCACTTGCTCTCTAAGGCACCTAACTACAGGTTTCATTGTTAGAATCATTTTTAGTCAGGACAGGTTGACATTCTGCAACTGTTCAGCAGGAACTTTTTTTTTTTACATGTTGCTGGGTCACACAGGATCTAAAAAGACCCTGAGGACTGTTCATTACAACCTGGAATGGCCTCTAGAAAGTTCATTCATAGAAACTGCCAATCAATTGGTCTTTCTTGTCATCTTCACTGATTGCCACCAGGTGGCAGTAACTACGCCACAACTTTAGCTATCTTCCACTATGATTAATGCCAGGTTTCCATGGAAATAATTAACTTGTTTATCTTTAAAAAATATTGGTTTTATTATGCAGTAGGCTTATGCGATAAGCAGACAATGAGTCACAATAATGTGGCTTGAAGATATGGGAAGTTAACCACACACCAGAAGATGAGGAGACGACGACGTTTCGATCGATCCTGGGGGTGAGTGACATTGATTTTCAAGCTGCCTCTTTCTATTTAGGGTGGACAGGCTCTGTCCGCTTTGAGGACATCACATGTCATTGTCATGGATAGGATATTTAAACATTATTGTGGGATCCAGTGATGGAGTAGTCGGGTGGGAGGATGTCTTCAAATCTTTCATCCGATCTGAGTCCAGGTTTTGTGCATTTAGGTCATGGTGTCTTGGTGACTGTCTTGAACTTGATCTTTATGACATCCCTGAAGCTCTGCTGGGAAACTGAATCCGTCTACTCATTTGGACAATTCTGAACTAGTAAATGATGGGTCTTTCTGCATGTTCAGTTCAGGCTCATCCCCATGGTGAAGGACTCTTGATCCTTAATTTGTTGGAGTTTTATGCCCATTGTCCATCCATCTGAATGATACTGCATATGTGGTTCATGTGCCTCATTCTTCAGGATGCCTAGTTGCATATTAGTCCATCTGGCCACTCTTGGGTTGCATCTAGTGTCCAAGACTTTCACTAGATTCATCTATAGATCATCCAAGAATCGGCATACTAATAGATGCTACTACTACTCTGCTTAAACTCGACTACAAGTATCTCTGAGAATTTGCATTATCCGCTGAGGTAGACCTGACCAAAATGTAAAATGTCAGCTAAATTATTCGCACACTCCGTCACTTGTGTGATGGAGTGCAAAAATATATGAATTTAGAGACAGCTCTATAACAAGTATTCAAGAAATGTGTAAATATTTAACTGAAAATGACCTACTACCAGAAATTTTTAACCTAATGTCTCCAGTTTGCTTGCTAACTAGATAGTGAATGTCGGTGATTTCCCTCGGGGCAAGATTTGAATTAAACAAATTCTAACCTTTCCACCACTGGCCACAGTGGGGGGAGGGAGGGAGGGGGGCGGTGTACAGGATAAACATATTAATTATGACACTAGCTCACCACATGTGTAAGCTGCTTAGCTTAGAGACTGTACTCATGATTGGTCCTGAACCCATTAATTATTGATATAACAGTATACATTAAATTTTGTAACTAGGTTATCAAGACTAACTTTCTTAGCTTAATTAATTTTGGGGCTCAGCCTCTGAGCCCATTATGTGTGTATTCACTACCGCCCACAGTGTAACGTAGGATTATGTTACGTTGTTTGCTTAATTAGATGGTGTTTAGTGGTTTTTATATTTAGTTGTCTTTGTTACAGCAGTCGGTTGTTGGCAGTGTCGTTGAGGTTAAGACGAAGACTGTAGCAGAGCTGAGTGCGGCCGGAGTCACGGAGCTCAATGCGGGACGAGAGCGTGGAGGGATGGTGAGTGTAGAAACTCGATGGGGAACAAAAGTGTTGTAGCTCGATGCGGTCGGAGTCTGGCTGTTTGCTCCGAGTCGAAGCTAAAGCATCTTGGAGTCGGCTGGAACTGTATACGCTGAGTGCTACATTCTTGAGGTTGAAGGTGTGCGGTAATTCTCAAGCGTCTGTACTAAAGTTAACTGAACCACTGGAAATTATACTGATAATTAATCGTTGTTGTTGTTTTAGATTCAGCTACTCGGAACAAAAAGTTCTAAGTAGCACGGGCTATGGGGAGCCGGTAAGTGGAGTCTCTTTGGAGCCATTATCTGTATCAATAGCTGATACTAAAGATCTGGGGATGGATGGGGGTCTTCATGGTGGATTTCAACTCGGAGGGCTGGTTGTAGCAGTTACGGAGCTGGTGGGTTAGTATAGACCGCTAGGTCTTCCGTTTTTTTCTTTGGCGGAGACTTGCTGTCGTTGGAGTTTGGTGAGGTGGCCTCCATGAGGAGGTCTTGTACCGAGTAGGTGTCGTATTGTGCTGTGGCGGTGGAGCTCCTACTAAGATTTCCTCGTTTGAGGAGTTTGTAACAGCCATAGTTAGTGATTTCGTCTTTTGTCTCGCAGCCTACACCTGAGGTAGGCTCAGGTGTTGTGGATTAGTGGTAGAACCTATTTCAGGAGTGTTGGTGGCGCTGTTAGTATTTGTAGACAGCACGCCTGCTAGCGCGGCTGCTGAGATGGTGATGGTAGGAGTGTTTGGAGCTGGAGAGGAAATACAAACCTCTGTGCCGCCCGGGTCCTGGGTGGTTTTGGAGTCTGTGTTGAGATCGACCTCGTGGTCGTCCTGGTGGTAGTCTCCGGAGTGGTAGTGGAGGCAGTGAGACTGCGTCCGGGGCGATGATGGGGTCCAGGCCGTTGGCTAGGATCAGCAGGTTGAGATCTTGACGAATCGTTCATTGTCTGGTCCGGCATGCCTCTCCGCTGGTGGAATAAGAACAGGGATAATGACTGCACATAATGCAAGGGACTGTGAGGGTGGTGGTTGGTCCTTAGGTCCCCAGTGTGGAGACCGAGTGATCTGTTGGGAGGAGCCACTGTTTGGTAGGGCTGTTACGGTCGTAGTCTGCATCTGGCTTATAGAAGGAAGGCTCGGGAACTGGTCAGATCTAAAGTCTAAGGTCGTGGCGACTTGCCTCTGGATGGTCGGCGGCGTGGTGGTGGTCTTTTTAATTTTCTGTTAATGTAATGCTAATGTTCTGTAATGTAATGTTGTTAATTTGGAAGTTGTGGCGTGGGTTGTTATGCCCCACATGCAGGGTCTTATACAATGGGATATTGGTTACAATGGAAGGGTTTCGGAACCAAAAGTTATATTCTAGCAAGTTTCCACCCACATTGATATAGACATAAACTTAACCTGGGTGAGCTGATCCGGTGGTAGGAGAGGCTGTGGATGTGGGCTGGGTGTGGTTCCCTCCAGCAGTGTCTGCAGGGTGATCACCTCCTCTGCCTCACTCTCCAGCTCCCCACCAGGCGTCTCCGTGTACACCACCAACCCGAACACACTACCACGCATGAAAATTAAATTGCATAATTACTTCAGTAATAACATAATAATGTAATGCGCGCGCACACACACACACACACACACACACACACACACACACACACACACACACACACACACACACACACACACACACACACACACACACACAATATACAAATATACAAGACATATACAAGAAATATAAGTGACAATATACAAAAAGGGCGACAGGCAAGAGGCACTGAACTACAGGCCAGTGTCCTTAACTTGTATACCATGCAAGGTGATGGAGAAGATCGTGAGAAAAAACCTGGTAGCACATCTGGAGAGAAGGGACTTCGTGACAAATCGACAACATGGGTTCAGGGAGGGTAAATCTTGCCTGACAGGCTTAATAGAATTCTATGACCAGGTAACACAGATTAAGCAAGAAAGAGAGGGCTGGGCGGACTGCATTTTCTTGGATTGTCGGAAAGCCTTTGACACAGTACCGCATAAGAGGCTGGTACATAAGCTGGAGAGACAGGCAGGTGTAGCTGGTAAGGTGCTCCAGTGGATAAGGGAGTACCTAAGCAATAGGAAGCAGAGAGTTACGGTGAGGAGTGAGACCTCCGATTGGCGTGAAGTCACCAGTGGAGTCCCACAGGGCTCTGTACTCGGTCCTATCTTGTTTCTGATATATGTAAATGATCTCCCGGAGGGTATAGATTCATTTCTCTCAATGTTTGCGGACGATGCCAAAATTATGAGAAGGATTAAAACAGAAGAGGACTGTTTGAGGCTTCAAGAAGACCTAGACAAACTGCAGGAATGGTCGAACAAGTGGTTGTTAGGGTTTAACCCAACCAAATGTAATATAATGAAGATAGGTGCAGGGAGCAGGAGGCCAAATACGAGGTATTATCTGGGAGAGGAAATTCTTCAGGAGTCAGAGAAAGAAAAAGACTTGGGAGTTGATATCACGCCAGACCTGTCTCCTGCAGCACATATCAAGAGGATAACATCAGCGGCATATGCCAGGCTGGCCAACATACGAACGGCATTCAGAAATTTGTGTAAAGAATCATTCAGAACTTTGTATACCACATATGTCAGGCCAATCCTGGAGTATGCAGCCCCAGCATGGTGTCCATATCTAGTCAAGGATAAGACTAAACTGGAAAAGGTTCAAAGATTTGCCACCAGACTAGTACCCGAGCTGAGAGGTATGAGCTACGAGGAGAGACTACGGGAATTAAACCTCACTTCGCTGGAAGACAGAAGAGTTAGGGGGGACATGATCACCGCATTCAAGATTCTCAAGGGAATTGATAGGGTAGATAAAGACAGGCTGTTTAACACAAGGGGACACAGGTGGAAACTGAGCGCCCAAATGAGCCACAGAGATATTAGAAAGAACTTTTTTAGTGTCAGAGTGGTACTAATAATAATTTATTTACAAATAATTTATTTAAAAATATACATATGATTCACAACTACATTGTACTTTCTTGATAAAAGCAATATATTTACCTGAAATTAAAACATATTCCTTCATCAATTTTAGTTTATACAGTGGTAGAGGAGGAATATACTCACTCTGTGATAGACTTGGTGAGGTCCCCCAACGGCACGCGGAGGAAGGCATCCAGGGGCTCGGCTGTGGTGGTGCGGGCGTGGGCATGGACAGGGTCGTAGCATGCCCAAGCTGCGGCTCGAAGTGGGTAGGTGAGAGTGTGGTGCTGGGGCCGGGAGCCACACCCTACCTGTACCACACCACTCTCCAGAGCTGGCGTGGAGACACCACAGTCTTCACAACATGTACACTTGAAAATACTATGTCGGGACTAGTTTTTATTTAGCACATATTTTGTTTTTTATTAATTTGTTCACTATAAGAACTCATATTTGACCTGACCAGGATTCGAACCCACGACGTCCAGGATCACCCCTAAACGTACACAGTACCATGACCACCGCACCTTTGATCGTCTATATATATATATATATATATATATATATATATATATATATATATATATATATATATATATATATATATATATATATATATATATATATATATATATATATATATATATATATATATATATATATATATATATATATATATATATATATATATATATATATATATATATATATATATATATATATATATATATATATATATATATATATATATATACAAACAATCCTATATGTCCCATTGTTACCTCATTGAAAGTATTTTATATAAGTTAATAAATATTGTGGTTCTTGGCCTTTCCTTCCTTCTCTATTCTACTGTGTAAGGAAACATTCTAATGGAAAGATTGAGAGTGAGTGTGTGTGTGTGTGTATGTATGTGTGTATGTGTGTGTGTGTGTGTGTGTGTGTGTGTGTGTGTGTGTGTGTGTGTGTGTGTGTACCACAATATTTGTATATTGTGGTACACACATACAAACAAATATAAGTGTGTAAATCATGAAAATTAACACGTGATGAAAAATGTGTGACAGTGTCAGACCACGGAGGAAGAATTGAAACAGGCATTTCCTTAATTAAGTACTTTCGTATATTAATACATCTTCAGACGTAATGAAGATATATAAAACAAATATATAAATACAAACTCACCACGGCATACCAACTGCCTGGCTTCCTTCTTGAACTTTGAGAAATCTCCGAGGACGCAAACACCACCATGAGCCAAGAGGAGTGAGCCTCCCTGCACCCATACGCTGCCTTCAGAATCTTTGGTCGAGGAGGCCGTGAGAGCATCCAGCGAAGAATGGATAACACTGTGGGGGGCGTAGCGAGCGCTGTACCACAGTAGACGCAGCAGAAGAGTGGTGTTGCTGCCCACCCCCAGCACGGCTAACCCGGCCTGAGAACACGCACACCAAGTGTCAACGCTCATACCAAATAATAATTTCCGGTGTCCGGGAAAGGAAGCCAGCACTTAGTTATCGAGATTCCCTGAAGTCAACTACACTTGATTTGCCGGAAACGCTGTGCGTAATAGTGGCTTTAGGCATTGTGTAGACTAGCTCTGTCTATAAATCCAACATTATGTTTGTTAACTCACCTTGTATGTATGTACTTTTCCTGAATAAACATTTGATTTGATTTGATTTGACTTAACTTCCCTAGGATGCAAAATAGGGAGTTAAGCAATAATTGCTTAACTCCCTATTACCTAACGAAAACATTAGGCTACAGCAAATGTGCCCAATCGTTTCTGTCTCCCCCAGGGATTGAACCCGGATGTCTCGATTGTGAGCAGAGGACGTAAAGTCTAAGGTAGACTTGATTATAAATATACATTTGTCATCACTAAACGTGTGAATGGTTTGGCTTCTTATACAGGCAGGAAGAGGATGCCTGTTATAGGCTTATCGTGGTACCCCTGGATCAACTAGTCACCTTCTCAAGGAGGCCACCCACAACAGTTGTCTAACGTCTTAATAACTTATTTATTGCTACGTGAACAGTGGTATCAGGTGAAAGAAAACGTTGCCCAAACGTTTCTATCCTGCCGCTGGAATTGAATATGGGACCTTTCTGCTGAAACTTCACTGGGCAAGAACGTGACCTTTCACAAGGAAATAATGGATGTGTGTGTGTGCTACATGTAAAGAACTGACCTTACGTGAGGAGCAGGAGGCGAGGGAGAGGAGAAGAGCCAGTTTAAATGTGTGGAAGGTGCCGGCCGGCGTGACGGAGGCAGCGAACATGTAGGCCAGCGTGAGCACCAGCGACCAGGGCGACGACGCGCGGTCCTCCGCCAGTCTCCTGCACACACACACACCCGTTCTCACACTTGCTTATAGTCAATATTGGCTTATTTAATAAGTGCATATGTGACATACCAATTTATTGTGAATATTTTAGTTTACCTTGAAAAGCTTCATGGAAACCACCGACCTCACCTAACCTTCTTAGTATGTTAAGATAAGCATCTTATTGCTTCTTAATTACAATTATTACTTAACCTATACCGTCCACACACACACACACCGCACATTCCTCTCTTTATTGTGTATTAATACAACTACATCCGCGTGTATACTCCTAACCCCCCCCCCTAGGCTATATGAATGGTTACTAGGGTTACACAGGTTGTCTTGTCATACTAATATCCCCCATCTTGCGAGATGGTATAGTCATGCAGGAGTATGTAATCTGCACTCACAAATTTTTGGGTTGATTATAAGGATATACTCGAGAACACTTTCATCTGTTACAACCAGACTAAACTATACGCCACTTAGCTGTGAGATACTGGATTGCTTTAGAGTCAACAGCAGAAAAACCCATCAACTCATATGAATACTCATGTAACCGAAATTTTGTGTAAATTTGTAATATTGATTTTTATTTGTTAAACTGTGCTGAAAAATATTGTTTTGTGTGGTCACACTGACTGTTCAGCAGGAAATGTTATTAAACATGTTAACGTGACCAGGTCGGGACTGGGTTTGTGATCAAGTTACAGGAGCACGAGAGTATATATGAAAGCAAAGTGAGCGAGCATCATTAACAATTTGCATGTGTATGATGACTGACCTAAACATTGGTGGGAGTGAGGAAGGCGACCTTAGAGGCGGGGGAGGGTGCACCATGATGGCCTCCACTGAGGGCAGCTGAGGCAGGTTTCTTGGGACTATCATGACCGTGGCTGCCACCTCTTGACCTGGCTCCAACCCGTGCAGCATCTCGTCTGTGGAGTAGGTTCATGTTATCGCCTTCGTGCCTCCAGCTACCTAGCCCCCGAAGCTGTCAATGCCAAAACACTGTTGATTTTTAAAATCTAGATTGAAAACAAAACATCATCAGGATAAATGAGATTAAATTTATCAAGCCGCCGGCTTCCAGTCCTCGTTGAGATCACTAGAGTGTTAGTGGTACTCAGGTAAATTCAGTTAAATGCCCAAATACTGAATATCCTAAGAAAAGTTTAGCTGTGTTCGATGAAACTCTATGGACTCTGTCTTGAACATTTCACTTCCACAAACTTCATGAAGTGTGTAGAGAGGGAGGGAGGGGGTGGGGGCATGAGGGCAGAATCCGCCTATGAACCTCTTCCAACACCCACCCGTTATCCTGCAAATTTGAGGTTGTGGTCCACATGAGGCCTTTCAGTGGACCACAGAGGTCTGGTCCATCCTTGGACAGACATTTTCTTTTATAGAATCAGTATAGATGACCACCTTTATTATTATATGCAATATTCAAATAAATTATTATAATTTTATTGTATTATTATTACTATTGTATTATTATTATTATTATTATTAAAATAAATATCTAGATTAGAACATTACAGAACAACAAAAGTGTTTTTTAATAAATTCACAGTTCATTTGTAATCAATTATTTATTTAATAAGATGGCATATCTTGAGATGATTTCGGGGCTTAGCGTCCCCGCGGCCCGGTCCTGGGCCAGGCCTCCTTTTTGTTACGCATCCCCAGGAAGCAGCCCGTAGCAACTGTCTTACTCCCAGGTACCTGTTTACGGCTAGGTGAACAGGGGCATCAGGGTGAAAGAAACTGCCCATTTGTTTCCGCCTCCACCGGGGATCGAACCCGGAATCTTAGGACTACGAATTCGGAGCGCTGTCCACTCAGCTGTCAGGCATCTAGACAAGTAGAACACTATAATCTTACAGCAACATCTAGATTTAACAATTCATAAGTGGCAGTCTATATGTAGACTACCATTATCAAATATTATACACATATTTTCCACTAAACTTCATAAAAGGATAAGTGTAACGTGTAAGAGTAAGTTGGGTGATTCAGGAAAGACCTGGGTAAATACTAGTTTGGAAACAGGGTTGTAGATTTCTAGATTATTTATTATGAGCAAATTACCAAATACCATAATAGACGAAGGCTCGTTGGATTGTTTCAAGTGTAGGTTAGGCAAATACATGTAGTTTGGGTGGATATAATTAGAAGCTACGTCGTATGAGCCCAGTAGGCCTTATACAGTTTCCTATATTCTTGCGTTCTTACTGACCCTTGAGGACGAGGTTAAGAGCTTGAGCCCGCTGGTGGGCGTTCTTAGTAAGGGCGCTGGCCTGGCTGTCTGCTAGCACCAACACATGCGACTTTTCTCCTAACTCCCTTGATGATGGATCCTCAACCAGCGGCGAGCGACACACCCTGCATGAACACTAGACTCAGCGAGGCGAGGCTACTCGTCACCACACCACATGATATAAGCAACCAAATAAATCCAGATACTTGTGTAAAGGAGGAAATGTATATGTTTATCTCTCAGAATGTTCGGTAATACGTTTATTGTTTGTGATGTGTGTCTATGTGTGTATTAACACAATGTACTGAACGAGGTGAGAATAGCTTGAGCTACCTCATCCCTTTGTGTGTATTTACCTCAATAAACTTATTTCAATTTCAATAATTCCAGATACTTGTTTTTGTATTCAAAATTGCCCTGTATCAGTTTGTAATTTAACAATACTTCTGTACATTAAATTATAGCACATTAGGTATCGACTGAAACTATTGCTTCCTGACAACTTACGCCAGCTTTTGTGAATAAAAGCTAGAATACAATATTCAACACTATATTGATCAATGCCCAATGATTTTAGCCCAAATGGCATGAGGTATTTTGAGCTTTGTAACATTTCATTCACTCGCAGATATTGAGAAATATTCTCATATTCTACGCAAAGTTTGCTAGTGTATTTTAGTAGATTATACTCACATCCCATCTTTTTATTTGATTCCATATATGACTAACCATCCTGTGAGATGGGGGATGAACTTATAGCTAGTTTTTTTATCTATACTTTGTATTCTCTTATAAAGAATAGGGTAGCATCACACTGCTGTGTATCTAAACTTACTGTACTTACTTACTATAATATATAACTTACTTACTGTACAAAAATGTTAGAACTCTTGTATATATAAATAAATAAACAAATAAATATGAAAAGAAAATGCTTCTATCTTGACTTGTAAAGTCGAGCCTTGTAAACATTTTATTTTGCTGTCTTTTACAAGTAACGTTGCCTCTTGTACTTCACTTTGCTCGTATTTAATAAACGATTACATTTCAGTATTTTTATCATTGTTACTACATGTTTATATGTTTACGAAGTGTGCGCATACCACCGTTGTCTCTTCCTTACAAACCCCTGAACAATAATGTAGCCTATGTACAATTTACATTGCTCTAAATTTAAAGACAAATCGTAAAGAAAAGTTCCTTCATGCACTAGATAATTAATATTACAAATACCTTAGACAAGAAGATTACCAAGTGAAGCTTCCCAATACAGGTATTATAGGAATACTACTGTGAAGATTTTATAATTAGTAAGCCGTGCCTGACCTGCAGACTGGGCGGTGATGGATGGTGTCTGCCTCCCGCCGGCCCTCAGCGAACACTCTCACGTGCAGGTCCCGGGCGGTGCCCAGACAGTCCCCGCTGCTGCACACGTAGCGCGCCCACACCCTAACACACCCACCGAGGATATAAACACATGAATGATAACACTACTAAATCTCACAAGGAAATAACAATCGCGACCGCCCTTAATTATACATAATAATAATAATTCGCTTTGTCGGGGATAAGAAGCCAGTGTATATTTAAACAAATCCACAAGGGCCGTGACGAGGATTCGAAACTCGTCACGGCCCTTATGGATTTGTTCATTTGATGCATCACGTTAGTGTGATCTCTGTGTATAACAGTGTATATTTACTCCCCCACCAAGGTGGAACTACTGACCCTCCCCAGGAAGCAACCCCACAACAGTTGACTAGCTCCTGGGTACCAATATTTACTGTTAAGCGAACATAGACATTAGGTGAAAACGTGCCCGACCATTTCTGTTCCGCCCCGGAATCGAATCGGGGATCCCCGATTGCGATTGGAGGGTGTTTGGAGGAAATCTCAGTTCATGTTTTTCCATGTATGCCTAATTCTTCAGACTTCCTGTATCTGTAAGTTACATTTATAGAAATATGTTGTAATTGTAACTGAACAATTTATTCCACAAATAACTATAAAACACATGAGGGTAATATTTTAAAATAGTAAAAAATATTTCAAATTAGGTTTTTGGTTAGTCCTACAGGCCTGGACAAGGGGGGTGGGGAGGGGGCAGGTGGGCCAGCTGGCATGGGCCTAATTGAATATCATTGCTTAATATTATACTTTTTATAAATCGTTCTAGTTTTATTCAGTTGTGTTACTTGTAACTACACCATATACACTACGTGTACATGTATACGAGCATACATATATCATAAGTAGTTAGTACTGATTGTAAAAATATTTAATCATTTCCCATTTAACCTGGGCCTATTACCAGTGCACGACCCTGGGCCTATTACCAGTGCACGACCCTGGGCCTATTACCAGTGCACGACCCTGGGCCTATTACCAGTGCACGACCCTGGGCCTATTACCAGTGCACGACCCTGGGCCTATTACCAGTGCACGACCCTGGGCCTATTACCAGTGCACGACCCTGGGCCTATTACCAGTGCACGACCCTGGGTGCCTATTACCAGTGCACGACCCTGGGCCTATTACCAGTGCACGACCCTGGGCCTATTACCAGTGCACGACCCTGGGCCTATTACCAGTGCACGACCCTGGGCCTATTACCAGTGCACGACCCTGGGCCTATTACCAGTGCACGACCCTGGGCCTATTACCAGTGCACGACCCTGGGCCTATTACCAGTGCACGACCCTGGGCCTATTACCAGTGCACGACCCTGGGCCTATTACCAGTGCACGACCCTGGGCCTATTACCAGTGCACGACCCTGGGCCTATTACCAGTGCACGACCCTGGGCCTATTACCAGTGCACGACCCTGGGCCTATTACCAGTGCACGACCCTGGGCCTATTACCAGTGCACGACCCTGGGCACGACCCTATTACCAGTGCACGACCCTGGGCCTATTACCAGTGCACGACCCTGGGCCTATTACCAGTGCACGACCCTGGGCCTATTACCAGTGCACGACCCTGGGCCTATTACCAGTGCACGACCCTGGGCCTATTACCAGTGCACGACCCTGGGCCTATTACCAGTGCACGACCCTGGGCCTATTACCAGTGCACGACCCTGGGCCTATTACCAGTGCACGACCCTGGGACTATTACCAGTGCACGACCCTGGGCCTATTACCAGTGCACGACCCTGGGACTATTACCAGTGCACGACCCTGGGCCTATTACCAGTGCACGACCCTGGGACTATTACCAGTGCACGACCCTGGGCTATTACCAGGCACGACCCTGGGATTACCAGTGCACGACCCTGGGACTATTACCAGTGCACGACCCTGGGACTATTACCAGTGCACGACCCTGGGCCTATTACCAGTGCACGACCCTGGGACTATTACCAGTGCACGACCCTGGGCCTATTACCAGTGCACGACCCTGGGCCTACCAGTGCACGACCCTGGGCCTATTACTACTTACCAGTGCACGACCCTGGGACTATTACCAGTGCACGACCCTGGGACTATTACCAGTGCACGACCCTGGGCCTATTACCAGTGCACGACCCTGGGCCTATTACCAGTGCACGACCCTGGGACTATTACCAGTGCACGACCCTGGGCCTATTACCAGTGCACGACCCTGGGCCTATTACCAGTGCACGACCCTGGGACTATTACCAGTGCACGACCCTGGGACTATTACCAGTGCACGACCCTGGGACTATTACCAGTGCACGACCCTGGGACCTATTACCAGTGCACGACCCTGGGCCTATTACCAGTGCACGACCCTGGGACTATTACCAGTGCACGACCCTGGGACTATTACCAGTGCACGACCCTGGGCCTATTATCAGTGCACGACCCTGGGCCTACATTACCTACTGATATGTTATCGGTAAACTTAGGTAACTTTAAAATATTAAATAAACATTTAAATATAAATTTAAAATATTAATATAACTTTATATATTAAAATTGTTTCATAATTGTTTGCTGGGTTATTTCTACTGAGTATTTCAAAATCTCTATATATCTCCCACACAGTTCCTCCTCAATTTGCATACTGTAAACTGAATTTGGTTTCTTCGACGTACAGACGTTATTAACAGATGACAATGGTCCGACTTCTGATACAATTTGTAACTTTCCTCGTGCTATACCAGAGAACTTACGTGTAGGTGGTTGGAAGCATGATGGAAATAACCCTGCCAGACACTAGAGCGAGAGTAGGTTCCTCCAGGTGTAGTGGCAAGTCCTTTACCCCGCCCACCATCCACTCCTTCACCCATGGTATCCCATCCACGCGGAGAGGAGCATGAATCTGCGGAGACATCAGAGATCACACGGACTTCTCAATATATACATACAGGTATAGCACTAATGTGATGAGGGGTTGCTCTTTCGATTATTCAACACTCGCCTGGCATTTCGCGAGCCCTTTGGCCTGGGTTCGTATCCTCGCCGGGGAGGATTTACTGGGCGCCAATCCTTAACTATTGAGGCTACAGTTACAACTACAGTTTACTGTTTACCCAACAGTAAAATAGGTACACGATTTAGCGGGTCGTATTCCGGGAACATTAGGATTAAGGGGGCGATAGTTAGGGTTCATAAAAGTTGTTCTAGTGCAATGAAAATTTATTGACGTGTTACACGTGAAGAGGGCTGCAAGTGGTCCAAGTTTCAGCATCGCAGCCTAAATAGAGAGGGAGAAAAAAAAAAAAAACTTTTTTTAACCATTTTTTTACATGTTTTAAAGTTGATATAACAAATACAAATATCAACTGATATTATTTCTATGATACTCAGCTATCACAATACTATATAATAAAGGTTGTCTAGTGGCATTATTATCCCAAACCTATTTAGTGCAATAATACAAATTTTCAAAGTTCACCCAAAAAATTATGCAACAAATGATGTTTATAAATATATATAAAATCAATAAATGATCTTAGGGGAAATATATAACTTGAGTTTTTAGAGGCACAGACTCTACATATAATGTGCAAGTTCCATGTAAATTGAATAATAAATAAAAAAGTTATTCAACCATATAGTTGCAAATTAGTTACCTGTAAAAAATGAAGGTCAAAGTTCAGCCACCTTTGGCTGAGGTTGATGAACTACCAATTTCAATCAAAATTACCACCCTTGTAGATTGGCATTCCTTCAGTAAGGTGTGTAAGTTCCATGAAGATTGCCTGATAAAAAAAAAAAAAAAAAAATTATTAAAAAAAAAAATTAAAAAAAAAAAAAAAAAAAAATAAAAAAAAAGACAGCAGCTTTATATTTACAATTATTTATGATATAGTATCAAGATATAAAACATAATACATACTAACCTAATATAATTGGTCTGAAATATGCAACATCTTGCAACATCAAGAGGGAGAACGTCTTGAGTTGCAGGTCTAAGATCTTGAGTGGCAGGTGCCGCAGGTGGTGTGGCAGGTGCCGCAGGTGGTGTGGCATGTGCAGCAGGAGGTGTGGCAGGTGCCACAGAGGTGTGGCAGGTGCCACAGGAGGTGTGGGTGCCTGGGTGTGAGGCGAGGTAGTGTGTTGTGGGGGCGGGAGGCTGCCCTCTCTCTTCACTCAAGGGAACTCTTGTTTTGCCTCAGTGTGGCTTTACGCTCCTTCTTTACTTGGCTAACGCGTAGAGCTCTTGCCTTTAGAGCTTTCTTCTTGTCCGATACTATATCCATTGTGCAGTATATGCAAGAAAATACGATCTGTGCGAGCGCGTCAGGCATGCGACCGCCGGCACAGACACTGAGAGGGTGACTAAGCCAGTAAATCGGATTATAGCCCCTCCCTCTCACAGAAGACAGTTGCCAGCGAGTGTGTTTATAATTTGTATATGCATAACAAGATATTCTCCACTCTATTGCGAAATACTAGACGCTTACAACGTATGACGCATCACCCTACGGCGCACCCGAGCCGCGAGGACCAGATTTCGGGCAATTGCGGCTGGAAAATTTGCTCTAATTACGTTATTTATTATCATAACATTAAACGGTTTGCACCACGGTGTTGCCAGAACGTTGTAGTATTTTTATAAATTTTTCGTGTTTGGCCGAATTTTTTCGGCCAAACAATTATAACGCCCTCTTAAGGACTTGCCCGAAACGCTGGGCCTATTACCAGTGCAACGACCTGGGCTATTCAAGTGCACGACATGGGCCTATTACCAGGCACGACCATGGGGCCTATACCAGTGCACGACCCTGGGCCTATTACCAGTGCACGACCCTGGGCCTATTACCAGTGCACGACCCTGGGCCTATTACCAGTGCACGACCCTGGGCCTATTACCAGTGCACGACCCTGGGCCTATTACCAGTGCACGACCCTGGGCCTATTACCAGTGCACGACCCTGGGCCTATTACCAGTGCACGACCCTGGGCCTATTACCAGTGCACGACCCTGGGCCTATTACCAGTGCACGACCCTGGGCCTATTACCAGTGCACGACCCTGGGCCTATTACCAGTGCACGACCCTGGGCCTATTACCAGTGCACGACCCTGGGCCTATTACCAGTGCACGACCCTGGGCCTATTACCAGTGCACGACCCTGGGCCTATTACCAGTGCACGACCCTGGGCCTATTACCAGTGCACGACCCTGGGCCTATTACCAGTGCACGACCCTGGGCCTATTACCAGTGCACGACCCTGGGCCTATTACCAGTGCACGACCCTGGGCCTATTACCAGTGCACGACCCTGGGCCTATTACCAGTGCACGACCCTGGGCCTATTACCAGTGCACGACCCTGGGCCTATTACCAGTGCACGACCCTGGGCCTATTACCAGTGCACGACCCTGGGCCTATTACCAGTGCACGACCCTGGGCCTATTACCAGTGCACGACCCTGGGCCTATTACCAGTGCACGACCCTGGGCCTATTACCAGTGCACGACCCTGGGCCTATTACCAGTGCACGACCCTGGGCCTATTACCAGTGCACGACCCTGGGCCTATTACCAGTGCACGACCCTGGGCCTATTACCAGTGCACGACCCTGGGCCTATTACCAGTGCACGACCCTGGGCCTATTACCAGTGCACGACCCTGGGCCTATTACCAGTGCACGACCCTGGGCCTATTACCAGTGCACGACCCTGGGCCTATTACCAGTGCACGACCCTGGGCCTATTACCAGTGCACGACCCTGGGCCTATTACCAGTGCACGACCCTGGGCCTATTACCAGTGCACGACCCTGGGCCTATTACCAGTGCACGACCCTGGGCCTATTACCAGTGCACGACCCTGGGCCTATTACCAGTGCACGACCCTGGGCCTATTACCAGTGCACGACCCTGGGCCTATTACCAGTGCACGACCCTGGGCCTATTACCAGTGCACGACCCTGGGCCTATTACCAGTGCACGACCCTGGGCCTATTACCAGTGCACGACCCTGGGCCTATTACCAGTGCACGACCCTGGGCCTATTACCAGTGCACGACCCTGGGCCTATTACCAGTGCACGACCCTGGGACTATTACCAGTGCACGACCCTGGGACTATTACCAGTGCACGACCCTGGGCCTATTACCAGTGCACGACCCTGGGACTATTACCAGTGCACGACCCTGGGCCTATTACCAGTGCACGACCCTGGGCCTATTACCAGTGCACGACCCTGGGACTATTACCAGTGCACGACCCTGGGCCTATTACCAGTGCACGACCCTGGGCCTATTACCAGTGCACGACCCTGGGCCTATTACCAGTGCACGACCCTGGGACTATTACCAGTGCACGACCCTGGGACTATTACCAGTGCACGACCCTGGGCCTATTACCAGTGCACGACCCTGGGACTATTACCAGTGCACGACCCTGGGACTATTACCAGTGCACGACCCTGGGACTATTACCAGTGCACGACCCTGGGACTATTACCAGTGCACGACCCTGGGACTATTACCAGTGCACGACCCTGGGACTATTACCAGTGCACGACCCTGGGCCTATTACCAGTGCACGACCCTGGGACTATTACCAGTGCACGACCCTGGGCCTATTACCAGTGCACGACCCTGGGCCTATTATCAGTGCACGACCCTGGGACTATTACCAGTGCACGACCCTGGGCCTATTACCAGTGCACGACCCTGGGACTATTACCAGTGCACGACCCTGGGCCTATTACCAGTGCACGACCCTGGGCCTATTATCAGTGCACGACCCTGGGACTATTACCAGTGCACGACCCTGGGCCTATTACCAGTGCACGACCCTGGGACTATTACCAGTGCACGACCCTGGGCTATTACCAGTGCACGACCCTGGGCCTATTATCAGTGCACGACCCTGGGCCTACATTACCTACTGATATGTTATCGGTAAACTTAGGTAACTTTAAAATATTAAATAAACATTTAAATATAAATTTAAAATATTAATATAGCTTTATATATTAAAATTGTTTCATAATTGTTTGCTGGGTTATTTCTACTGAGTATTTCAAAATCTCTATATATCTCCCACACAGTTCCTCCTCAATTTGCATACTGTAAACTGAATTTGGTTTCTTCGACGTACAGACGTTATTAACAGATGACAATGGTCCGACTTCTGATACAATTTGTAACTTTCCTCGTGCTATACCAGAGAACTTACGTGTAGGTGGTTGGAAGCATGATGGAAATGACCCTGCCAGACACTAGAGCGAGAGTAGGTTCCTCCAGGTGTAGTGGCAAGTCCTTTACCCCGCCCACCATCCACTCCTTCACCCATGGTATCCCATCCACGCGGAGAGGAGCATGAATCTGCGGAGACATCAGAGATCACACGGACTTCTCAATATATACATACAGGTATAGCACTAATGTGATGAGGGGTTGCTCTTTCGATTATTCAACACTCGCCTGGCATTTCGCGAGCCCTTTGGCCTGGGTTCGTATCCTCGCCGGGGAGGATTTACTGGGCGCCAATCCTTAACTATTGAGGCTACAGTTACAACTACAGTTTACTGTTTACCCAACAGTAAAATAGGTACACGATTTAGCGGGTCGTATTCCGGGAACATTAGGATTAAGGACTTGCCCGAAACGCTGTGTGCTAGTGGCTGTACAAGAATGTAAGAACTTTTGTATATATAAATACACAAAATAAAAATAAAATTCACACAGTACATTCCCCAGTTTTTTTTTTTTTTTTTACAATTTTGAGCTGAATTCATTCCACATGCGGAACTTCTGAGATATTATCTATTTTTGGAAAATGTTCTAATCTTTCTAGTGAATACTGAAGTGTTCGCTGCTTTTTCATCATCTGTTATACCTTGTGTTGTCAAATCTTTCAAAGAAACTCCCGTAACTTCTGTCAATAGGTCTCCTGCAGTTGCCTTTATTCTTCTGGTTTAGTTTCCCCATAGTTGGGGACAGAAAGCCTGTTATGCTTTCGAGGTCCACCATCAGTCTGCAGCTTGAGGGTAACAAGGCATTCTTGAACGCGTCCTAGGCCTCCCACCGTAGCAACAAGATGTGTCTATAAATTATTAATAGTGTTGTTGTGTTGATTTAGGGGCGACGACGATCGTGGGATCGGATGCGCCCCGAAATTATAATAGTGATAAATCTATTATAATAAATTATATATAGTAATAGCCACATTAAACTATTGTGACAGATCTTTGATCAATTAAATAAATAAATAAATAAATAAATAAATAAATAAATAAATAAATAAATAAATAAATAAATCATGACAACGTGGGCAGATGATCGGCTACAGCTACAACCAGCCATTCTCGCCTTCTCTAAGAAGCATTAATTCTATAAGTTCTGTTGTTTAAGACAAATATTAAATTTAGCCAGAGTGTATATTATTGTACGTTCTGTTAATAGGTATTTAAAGGGAGAGGTGGTTAGAACATAAGAAATCACCAAAGCCCCCATGTAGTGAACTGCCTATTTCCGTACTGATCTGCAATAAAGAACAGTGTCTATATGAATGATTATTAACTTATTAATATAATTTAAACACTAAAATAAATATCCAGGTGAGTTACTTCCCAGAAGCGGTCTGCTTGAATTTCATTATTTATTTTTAGCTAAGTGGCAGAGATTTAGTTGAGTATATATATATTTGGAACAAGATTCTCTACAAAAGTGATATGCTTACTTGCGCAGCAGTGAGGACGCTACGCGAGGCTTCCCCTGACACAGAGGTCTCCAGAGGCAGGTTGGACGCCAGGGACTGCAAGGTGCTGTTAAGATCCTCAAAGTCCAATGTTACTTCTCTGGCGGCGACACCTAACATGGCGGGGAGCTTCTGAGATTTGTCTTGGTGATCTAGATAGAGGGAAGTGAGGTAGTCAGGGGTGTCCGGGCTGTATGTCTCTGGTCCCGGAGCACAGTGGTCGTCCACGGAGGGGAGAGGAGGCTCCGGCTGGTAGCTGAGAGAGGAACAGTCCAGCTGGAGGTTGATGGCGACGGAGGCTACGTGCACCACGTGATGGAATACTTGCTGGGCCTCAACTGGTCGACTCATCACCAGGCTGGCTAGCTCCTCTGTTCTCAGTTTAATTAATAGCATTTAATTTAATAATCTGTCTTATTATATTCTAAAATGTAATATATCTAAGACAATCCAATATGCAAAGATCAAAGAAAATTAATTAATTTCGATTCAAATAAGTTCAAATAAATCCTTGCGCTATAACTAGCAAACAAAGTGGTAACTGCATACCGTCTATTTCTCGAAGGTGCATGACATTAATGTAGACAGGTGTGCTGAGGACTTTAGGGACGGGATGAAGCGAGGCTCGGGACACAAGTGTAGACCGAAGCCTATCAAGTCCACCTGACCGGTCCAGCCATCGTAGAGCAGAAATGTGTAAGTGATCTGCACGCTTCATGTCTAGTGTAGTAAGAATACGAACTTTTATCTTTATAGGCAATAACTAGTGAAGTGCATGTCAGGGGGTGAGCCCTGGTAATGCAGGTTCGAATCCAGGTCAGGTCATAGAGTTTTTAAGTGATTTATGGCTTGGGGACCATTCAAGCAATATATCCAAAACCTCTTGACCTCGGAAGGATTCGAACCCTGTCAGCCAGAGTCTTCATGACCCCAGCAGTCCAGTACTGTAACCACTCAGTAACCAACTGTCTAAAAGTAACTGTAAGTCGTTAGACCTACATGCACCTAACACCCGACAGCACTCGTGGCAATATTTCATCAAATCATTTCAACGTGCTAGGGCCGCATGGACATCAAGTGTGCGTAATAGGTTATACTGGGTTAACACTAGGTTTTATGATAATTACATAATCTACACTCGGTGTCTTCGTACCGAAGCTTCTTAAAACAAAGGAAGCTAAGAGTTGCCTTATATGGAAATGAAATTGACTAGAGAAATGTGATGAGTGGGGGTACCACAAGGATATTTTGGGGGCCAATTAATAATTAAAAGTTGCACAACAATTGGGAGCTACAGAAAAAAAATTAAGCCATCCAGACTCTACACCTACGTTGGAGAACGTTCAACACCGGGCAACAAAAACAATTCCAGAACTAAGTCGAACGGTTGAGGGCCTCTCAGGACTAACAACACCTCAAATTAAGCAAACATGACAGGGCTGATACAGTCGAAACCTTAAAAATACTGAATAGCTTGTAGGCCAGCAGGTGACACAGCACCGCTCTTGTGCCAGGTAAGTCCACTACGGGCTCACCATAGCCCGTGCTACTTCCCCCACTCCTGTGCCAGGTAAGTTACGGGCTCACCATAGCCCGTGCTACTTGGAACTTGTTCCGAGTAGTTCAATCTATAACAACAACAAATTGTAGGCCAGACCAATTCTTCAAAAGGTCAGATGTAACACAAGGAGCATTGGTTTCAAGTTCAACAAGCCACAATGTAGAACAGGAAGGAAGGAAGGAATTATCAAGGAAAAGCGCCAAGCCATTACGACTATATAGCACTGGGAATGGGTCAGGATAAAGATTGGGGATGGGACGGGGGGAAGGAATGGTGCCCCAACCACTTGGACGGTCGGGGATTGAACGCCGACCTGCATGAAGCGAGACCGTCGCTCTACCGTCCAGCCCAAGTGGTTGGGCAATGTAGAACAGGAAAATAAATGTTTTTTCACCCACAAGGTCATCAAAAAATGGGACCCCTTACCCGCCAAAGCCATAAATGCCAAGACACTGCTGAATTTCAAGATCAAGGACAAATGGGAAGACATTTGACAAGCCGCTAGCTTCCTGTCTTCTTCGAGGCCACTAGAAATATATAGTGGTCCTCGGGTAAATTCATGAAAATTGCCAATAACACTATAATTTATTTATAGTTTATTTCATAGACAAATTACTTAATTTTGGAACAGAATTTCCAAAATTTCCTTAACTTGAGTTTACCTGAGAGCCACTGGTGGCCTTGATGAGGACAGGAAGCCGGCGGCTTATCGTAGGTATCATTTTCGCCACTATTAAATTTTTATTGTATTTACTATTAAACATCTTTCTAGAGTGACATTTAACTAGTCATTTTGTGCATTATACAGTGTAGGTCAGCATGGATTGCTACATAAGTTATGAATTAAGGCGACGTATTTCACAATTTGTTTTAGCACAAATGATACATTTATCAACTGCAAACTATTATCAAGAAGTTTAACTCTAATTTGTATAAATCTATTTATAAGATGATCCACCACATTCACAATAGTGTAGTGATAAGACAGGAAAGTAGGTTTTGACAGGAGTGGTCGTGGAAAAGGTGTTATAAATTCAGGTTGCAATTAAAGGCACATATAAATAAATTAGCTCAGGAACTACAGGCATGGGACCACTATATATTCATTTAGCTAAGAAAGTTACAGCACTGATGAGTCAGGTACAGAGGTAGTTAATAACATATAGGGAAAAGTTGTGACGATGACCGTGTAAGTGCGGTGACTGACCTCTTGTGTCGTCGTCCTCTTAGCGGGAACTCACGCACTACGGGCTTACTCTCTTTTTTCTCACCCACTCCTGTTATTTATTCATTAAATTATTTAATTTATTTAAATTATAACAAGAAAGTACAATGTTTTTTTTATTTTTATTGTATAAATGGTATATTTTTGCAAAGTCACTATAACCGTTCTTCCCCCACAGACAGGCCATCTCTATTCATACTAAATTCTGGATATTAGTGCTCATTGTTCACAAAGTTTTTATTGCATTTGTTATTGTGTGTGCGTGAATAAATCTACTGTTTTTTCCTCTGAAGTGAGAAGGTTTGTATCCCCTATTTATTTACATCCAAAAAATCAAATCCATGTCAGCATCACATTTGATTATGCAAACTGCACGTATTGCGAAGAAGTATTTGATTAAGAAGAGTTTAAGCAAATCATTTATAAAAATAATCATCTGAAATGATTAAGATAACTCGAGCTGGTATAAACTTATCTAAGAATAACGGAAGCTAAACCAGTAATTGTTTTTATACAGTTGCGGGGGATCATTTAGGAGCGCTGGTCGCCTCCCTCCGTAGTTGATGCTGACCCAGGCCCCAGCAGACGTTGTTGGTCCTGGCATCATATTTAGAATTTTGACGAAGTGCAACGACTCGTATTAACACGACACATCAACAAGAAGTTACATCAACATAATTTATAGAGCAGCAGCGGAGAACCCTGTGTCTAGACTGAGCTTCATCTAGTGTGAATAATTGACCAATCGTCAGAGGTAACCCAATTCTCCCTATAATCTTCATAACACTTGACGTTCATGTTTATTATAAGATCTCTAACGAAGTTTGATTTGCATTAAAACTTTATGATAGTGTAATGGTTTCACATTCCCTCAGAATTCAGAGTTATCAGACTATCTAATTTCCTTGTTCAGTGTTCAAAAAGGGTCCCCAAGCAGCCCGACCTCTTACAAATTACGTCGCTTTTGCTAGTATGCATTACGGCCAAAATTCACCATATTGGAATTAAAAAAAAGGAAATTAATTTTCAAAATGAAATGGACCCAAAGCGGCAAGTTAATGATCCTCTTCTGGTAGGTTAGAAGGGCAGGGAGTTCTCCTAAATTTTCAAAATGTCATGAAACTGTAAATTTAAAGTGTCTTCTCCTAACCTAACAGCCTAAGCCAGAGGGCCTAAAACAGAAAACGGCACAGTACGTAACTTTCACGAGCCACTTTAATTTTCTAGTTAGGTGATTTTTAGCTTTTGTGCGCATGTGAGCAAAAAGTGACAATTACAGTAGTAAGAGGATGGGTTGTCCTAAGAATAATCATACTATACTGTATATATAATATAAATATGCTGTATACATATATATACATACATATAATACTATAAATATATTCATAATATTAAAGAGGCTGGTTAAAACAGGCCGCTCCAAGCAACAGCCTAATGGACCAAACTCACAAGTCAAGCGTGGCCTCGGGCCGGGCTTGGGGAGTAAAAGAACTCCCAGAACCCCCATCAACCAGGTATTACTACTCTTAACAAAATCTATCCAGTTGAATTTAAAACCTGAGCTGGAAAAAACTGTGCCTCGATAGAACTGCGTTTATATGGTCAACCACTTTTGTGATGTGTCGCTGTGCACTTAATATACATCTAGTGATAAAATATTTGTTACAGATGTATGAGAGAAATAACAAGGATTTTGGCAAGACTTCGTCAGACCTTTGGTACAGTGATCAACGATATGCTCAGTTCTGGCAGCACTACAATACTATGATGATGACAGCTCACCATGATGCAATTGTCAAAGCAAGATATGTTGCAGCTCATACAAAGGCTGCTTTATCTAACCTGGTAAGGGGTAAAGAATGTTCAAATTTGATGTTTTATCAAGTTTACATAATGAATTGATTTTGTTGTACAGTATAAGATTGGCATCCTTCTTGACTCGCAATTGACATCCCAGGTTTGATTCCTGGTAGGACAGAAATGGTTTGAGATATTTCCTGTTACCTAATGTTCTCATTCACCTATCTTGAGGTTATCTTGAGATGATTTCGGGGCTTTAGTGTCCCCGCGGCCCGGTCCTCGACCAGGCCTCCACCCCCAGGAAGCAGCCCATGACAGCTGACTAACACCTAGGTACCTATTTTACTGCTAGGTAACAGGGGCATAGGGTGAAAGAAACTCTGCCTATTGTTTCTCGCCGGCGCCTGGGATCGAACCCAGGACCACAGGATCACAAGTCCAGCGTGCTGTCCGCTCGGCCGACCGGCTCCCACCTAGCAGTAAATAGACACCCAGGATTTAAGCAACTGTTGTGAGGTTGCATTCTGGGGAGGGTGAGTAGTTTGACCTTGATGGGGACCTTGATACAAGCCTAAAGTATGTATTCACCTAGTATTCACCTAGTTGTGCTTGTGGGAGTTGAGCTGGTGCTCAACCTACTGGTGCTCTTTCGGCCCGCCTCTCAACTGTCAGTCAATCAACTGTTACTAACTACTAATTTTTTTCACACACACACCCACCCAGGAAGCAGCCCTTAACAACAGCTGTCTAACTCCCATATTTACTGCTAGGTAACAGGAGCATCAGGGTGAAAGAAACTTAGCCCATTTTTGTTTCTGCTGGTGCCGGGAATCAAACCCGGGACCACAGGACTATGTATCCAGCGTGCTGTCCACTCAGCTACCAGCGCCCCCATGTGTGTGTGTGTGTGTGTGTTCACCTAGTTGTGCTTGCGGGGGTTGAGCTCTGCACTTTCGGCCTGCCTCTCAACTGTCAATCAACGGATTTTTTTTTCACATACAAACCCCGCCAGGAAGTAGCTTGTTGCAGCTGTCTTAACTCCCAGGTACCTATTTACTGCTAGGTAACAGGGGTATTGGGGGAATAGAAACTCTACCCATTTGTTTTCCGTTTCCACCGGGGATCGAACCCTGAACCTCAGGACTACGAATCTGAAGCACTGTCCACTTATCTGTCAGGGCCCCCTGTAGTTACCTAACTTTACAGGATGAGAGCTACGCTCGTGGTGTCCTGTCTTCCCAGCACTCTTTGTCATATAACGCTTTGAAACTATTGACAGTTTTGGCCTCCACCACCTTCTCACCTAACTTGTTCCAACCATCTACCACTTTGTTTGCAAAATGAATTTTCTTATATTTCTTCGGCATCTTTGTTTAGTTTAAATCTGTGACCTCTTGTTCTTGAAGTTCCATGTCTCAGGAAATTTTCCCTATCAATTTTATTGATTCCTGTTATAATACTATTTTGTACATAGTGATCATATATCCTCTTTTTCTTCTATTTCATTTTGGCATATTTAATGCCTCTAACCTCTCTTCATAGCTCTTGTCCTTCAATTCTGGGAGCCACTTAGTAGCATGTCTTCGTACCTTTTTCAGTTTGTTGATGTGCTTCTTAAGATATGGGCACCACACAACCGCTGCATATTCTAGCTTTGGCCTAACAAAAGTCGTGAACAATTTCTTTAGTATTTCGCCATCCATGTATTTAAAAGCAATTCTGAAGTTAGAAAGCGTGGCATAGGCTCCTCGCACAATGTTCTTTATGTGGTCCTCAGGTGATAGTTTTCTATCTAGAACCACCCCTAGATCTCTTTCTGTATCAGAAGTCTTTAAAGATTTTCCACATAATTTATAGGTTGTGTGGGGTCTCTGTTCTCCTATTCCACATTCCATAACATGGCATTTATTTGCATTAAATTCCATTTGCCAAGTAGTGCTCCATATACTTATTTTGTCCAAGTCTTCTTGAGGGGCATTACAATCATCTAAGTTACTTCTGCTTCCTATTATCTTAGCATATAAAATTTGCTATATGATTTTGGTATAATAATATACCAAATAATAATATAATAATAATAATATTATTATAATAATAATAAAATAATAATAATAATAATAATATATAATAATAATATACAAATAATAATAATACAGTAATAATATACCAAATACTAATATTTTGGTATATATAATAATATGATTTTGGTGTGTGTGTGTGTGTGTGTGTGTAATTACCTAAGTGTAGTTACAGGATGAGAGCTACGCTCGTAGTGTCCCATCTACCCAGCACTCTTTGTCATATAACGCTTTGATGCTACTGACGGTTTTGGCCTCCACCTCTGTCTCACTTAAACTGTTCCAACCGTCTACCATTCTGTTTGCGACAGTGAATTTTCTTATATTTCTTCGGCATCTTTGTTTAGTTAGTTTAAATCTATGACCTCTTGTTCTTGAAATTCCAGGTCTCAGGAAATCTTCCCTATCGATTTTATCAATTCCTGTTATTATTTTGTACGTAGTGATCATATCGCCTCTTTTTCTTCTGTCTTCTAGTTTTGGCATATTTAACACTTTCGCGCTCTCGGCGCTCAAAAAAAAACAATACCCCAGATGCTTTCGGCACTTCGCGCGCCTACGCGGTAAGACCGAAAAAGTGTACACTCTTTTGACTGTCCTGACAATAATTGAAGGCGCACGTATTTAAATTTGGTATCACTGTGTTCGCAATGAAATTGTCTATAAGAGCATACCTATAAAATGCCGCCCAAGCATAAGGAGTATCAACACCAAATAAAAAACTATGCAGATCACTCGCCGAGAGCGCCAAACAGCAACAAAATGTTTCCACTCTCTTAATGGTTGCGAAGCCTACAGTTGTCCTACATCACTAATTTTGGTATCACTGGAATCGCAATAAAATTCTCTACACGGACATATGCATATGAATGTTTAATATAGGTAATTGCCCACCCGCAAGAGTGTGGGAAGTGGAGAGTAGTTAGCCGCGAGCGCACTGGCGAAAACACAGGGGGGAAATCATGCTTGGAAAGTTTATACGTTTCCTGACCCTACTTTTCTATGTACGTATTTCTTTTTTATACCAATGTGTTCACAATAAAATTTTCTATAAGATGAACTGTATAACATTTGTACAAAGCATGTGTAAGAGAAGCGCCAAATATAGAACCACGTTGCTCAGCATGCGTTCGCGGCAGAAACGAACGCATTGTTTTCGTTCGTTTGATGTTTGTCATGTTTATACTTGTTGAAACATTTTATAATTAGTATGACAGTGATCGCAGTACAATTCCCTACACAGACATATACATAACACAAACAAATATTTCCCATGTGTTGGATATATCAACGGCTAAAGGGAACCCACTGCCACACGCTCGCCACACCCCAAACATACTTTGTGTATTTTTTTTTACTCATAGAAGTTTATGTGATATAATATTCATTCTTGTACCAGAAAATTCGCAAATAAATTCTCTACAAAACAAAAGTATCCCCATCCATTTCGGTTAAAAAATGGAATTTATAGAAATATTTTTTCGATGGACGAGAAAACTAGACAGTTATGCGGAATCGTAAGAAAAAACAGCGACGAGTTATCTCTAATCTAAAGCGTGAAAGTGTTAATGCCTCTAACCTCTCCTCGTAGCTCTTGCCCGTCAGTTCTGGAAGCCACTTAGTAGCATGTCTTTGCACGTCTTTTCCAGTTTGTTGATGTGCTCCTTAAGATATGGGCACCACACAACCGCTGCATATTGTAGCTTTGGCCTAACAAAAGTCGTGAACAATTTTTTTAGTAGTTCGCCATCGATGTATTTAAAAGCAATTCTGAAGTTAGAAAGCATGGCATAGGCTCCTCGCACAACGTTCTTAATGTGGTCCTCAGGTGATAGTTTTCTATCTAGAACTGCCCCTAGATCTCTTTCTTTATCAGAATTCTTTAAAGATTTCTCACATAACTTATAGGTTGTGTGGGGTCTATGTTCTCTTATTCCACATTCCATAACCATAACATGGGATTTATTCACATTAAATTTAATTTACCAAGTGTTGCTCCATATACAGTACTTAATTTGTCCAGGTCTTCTTGAAGGGCATAACAATCATCAAAGTTTCTTATCCTTCCTATTATCTTAGCATCATCAACAAACATGTTCATATAATTCTGTATACCAACTGGCAGATCATTTATGTAGACAATGAACATTACTGGTGCAAGAACTGAATCCTGTGGTACTCCACTTGTGACATTTCTCCAGTGCGATACATTGCCTCTGATTACTGCCCTCATTTTTCTATCAGAAAATTTTTCATCCATGTTAGAAGCTTACCTGTCACCCCTCCAATATTTTCAAATTTCCAGAACAACCTCTTATGTGGAACTCTGTCGAAAGCCTTTTTTAGGTCCAGATAGATGCAGTCAACCCAACCATCTCTTTCCTGTAAAATCTCTGTGGCTCAATCATAGAAACTGAGTAAATTTGATACACAGGATCTTCCAGATCGAAAACCATACTGTCTGTCTGATATTATATCATTTCTCTCCAGGTGTTCAACCCATTTAGTTTTTATTATTTTTTCCAATATTTTCACTATTACACTTGTCAATGATACAGGTCTATAATTGAAGGGGTCTTCCCTGCTGCCACTTTTGTATATTGGAACTATGTTAGGCTTTTTCCACACATCTGCTACGAATCCTGTACACAGGGATGCCTGAAAGATCAGGTGAAGTGGAATACTGAGCTCAGATGCACATTCTTTCAGAACCCATGGTGAAACTCCTTTACGTGCAATTTAGTGTTTATGAATTTGTAGAATAGGCCCGGTTCTGTTTTACATTTATCCGCTATCCCTTTTTCAAAATTTCTTTCTGCCTCTCTCCTTACTGCCGTATAGTTGTTTCTCACATCTTTGTATCGCTGGTATGTTTGGAGGTTTGGCCTCTTCCTATATTGATTCCATTTTTGTGTCCTTTGGTCTCTGCCCCCTCTCGCAATTTCTGTTGAACCAGTCTTTGTTTTCTGGCCCTGCATCTCTGTTTTGGTATGAATGTTTGTGTGTCTTCTTCGTATATTATGCAAAATTTGGCATACATTTCATTTACTTCCTTGCCTAGCAACAAGTCTGTTCAATTACACTCATTAAATTTTTTTCGAAGTTCCCCATAGTGACCTCTCTTGAAATCAAGTTTATCAACTGTTTCAATGTCCCCATTTTCTTCTAGATGATGTCTTTAAGCATATTTAATGTCTAACAGGACCTGATCACTCTTTCCCAAGGGAGGAAGGTACTGGATGTCAAATATCTCTTCTTCTTTCCTGGTGAATACTAGATTCAGTACTGACGGTACATCTCCTTCCCTCATTCTTGTGGCCTGCTTGATGTGTTGATACAAGAATGTCTCCAGAATGAGTTTCACAAATCTGCATGTTCAAAAGTCCTCCGTTCCTGCTTCATAGGCCTCCCAGTCTATTGCTTTAAAGTTGAAGTCCCCCAGTATCAACAGTCGTGATTTATCTATCTGCTTGTACAATAATATTTCTCATAACCATTATGAGGCCCTCTCGTTTGTCATCCGGTTCTTCCTTTGTCCATGTGTTGCTTGCTGGTGGGCTGTAGGTATTTAAAATTATCAGCTTATTATCTTGATTCCAGACCTGCAATGCCATTATGTCAATATCTCGAGGGTTTTCAAATATTAACTCTCTTACCTTCAGGTGTTCTTTTACCAGCACAGCCACTCCTCCTCCCTTCCTAGTTTTCCTGTCACGTCTCCAAACTGAACAGCCTCTTGGGAATTTATTTAATATATTTCCTTCGAGTTTTGTCTCTGATAATACGACAATATCTGGGACCTTAAGCTGAATTATATCTTGCAACTCCAAAGTTTTTGACCTCACTCCATCTATGTTGGTATATACAGTTTTCAGGAACATGTTCCCTTTCCCTTTGATCTTTACTCCCCCATCCACTAATGATCTTGTTGCTTTGTTTTTATGTACCATTTCACAAGCTTTCCAGTCCCCTGACACTTTGTAGTAGAATTTCTGTATTCTTCAGTTCTATCCCCATTTAGATGTTTTGCTTCAATTAGGTTCATTTTTAGCTTTTCTCTGTCTTCCTTTGAGAGGTCTTGTCTTATTGACCAAAGTTTGCCAACTTCATCACTCTGCAATTTCCTGGCATTTCTCAGCACTTCCAGTAAGTATATGTGTGTGTATTTTGTTGAAAACAACAAAGTTTTAGATTTATGATTATGGCACGAATCTTCTCGCTATTCCTTATGTTTTTCTTCACTGAAGCAGGAAGATTAAAAATTAACTCTCCAAAGTTCATTTTTATTTATTATTTGGGTCTGACACCTAGTGATGCATTTTGTAAGGTCTCACCTCACATTCTCAAAGACAAATTCTTCTGTTGTTGTTGTTGTTTCAGATTTAGCTACTCAGAACAAAGTGTCCATGTAGCACGGGCTATGGTGAGCCCGTAATTGAGTTCGGTTATTTGCGATAACCTTGTTTCTGTGATATTTGGGTCAAAGTTTAAAATGGAGGAGAGGATTCCTCCTTTTTCCCTGTTTTTTTATGGCTTCTGTTTTAGTGCACTGGTTTTAGTCTTATTTTATTAACATTATCTTGGTGGTGGATGTAGATGCAGAATGCTCACTAGTGAATCCCATTCCTCAACGGCTTTTCTAATCATTGTAGTCGCGGTGGAATGTGCAACTAATGCAGCTGCTGTCGTTGGATTAATGTTGAGTTTGATGCGCAGGGCCTCGGTAGCTTCACATTCCAGTAAGTAGTGCAATAGTGGTGCCTCAGCTTCTGTTTCACAGATGTGACACTCTTTAACTATTGGATTCATTACCTCCCAGCAGCACTTGTAACCAAGTCTGAATCTGTGTATGGCTACTGCAATGTCTCTGGATATCTTTTTGCCAGGCTTGAATGAGGAGTAACCAGTGGCTTGTTCTTGAGGTTATCTTGAGGTTATCTTGAGATGATTTCGGGGCTTTAGTGTCCCCGCGGCCCGGTCCTCGACCAGGCCTCCACCCCCAGGAAGCAGCCCGTGACAGCTGACTAACTCCCAGGTACCTATTTACTGCTAGGTAACAGGGGCATTCAGGGTGAAAGAAACTTTGCCCATTTGTTTCTGCCTCGTGCGGGAATCGAACCCGCGCCACAGAATTACGAGTCCTGCGTGCTATCCACCAGGCTTCGAGGCCCCCATGTTCGTACCATATCGCAGTGACAAAAAAATTCATTCTGTGTTAGCACCTGATTATATCCTCTAATGGTGAGGTGGTAGGTGACATGGATGAATGACATACATGGGGTATTAATGGGGGTCTTAAATAATAGGGTATTAATGGGGGTAGTAAATTAGGAGTGTGACATGTTGGCAGTTTATGTTCTTCTGGTTGCTTCCATTCCTATTGCAGGGTCATTCGGTCCAGCTTCTGCATTGGCCCGAGGTGTTGAAGTGGGTAGAGTATAAGTGTGTATTAGCTGGTTATTGATTGCTGGTCTAGATTTCTTGATATGCAGTGCTTCACTGGTGTCTAATCTTCTATTGTCATTGTATCTACCATTTATTTTGGTGTTGCTTGTCAAAATATCCCTGTGATCATTTTGTTGTGTGTGGCGATTATATGTTCCTTGATGGAGCCCTGTTGCTTGTGCATTGTTAAATGCCTAGAGAGAGACATTGCTGTCTTGCCTATACAGTATACTAAGTTCGTTGGGGCTGACAATCCCCAAGTGGGCACGTGAAGGCGTAAACAACGTTGGTCTCTTTCAAGGCGTTTTTCTTGGTGTGTGGAGGATTCTCCCGACTCATTTAATTTTATTCAGTACGTTTAATTCAGTACAGTATTCTTTTTGGTAGATCATTTATGTAGATGATGAACATTACTGGTGCAAGAACTGAACCCTGTGGTACTCTGCTCCAGTCAGATACATTTTCTCTGATTGCTGCTCTCATCTTTGTCAGTTTATGTGTGTATACATACATACATGCATACATGCATGCATACATACATACATACATACATGCATACATACATACATACATACATACATGCATGCATGCATACATACATACATACATACATACATACATACATACATACATACATACATACATGTGTGTATACATACATACATGCATACATACATACATGCATACATACATACATACATACATACATACATACATACATACATGCATACATACATACATACATACATACATACATACATACATACATACATACATACATACATACATACATACATACATACATACATACATACAGTACTTTAGGTTTGGTTGGAGTTCCCCAAGATGTATCCCCAAAACAGTTGCCTAACTCTCGGGTACTGTACCCATTTTCTACAGCCCATCGTCCTGTTTTGGTAGTATGATGAGGACCGTAATACATATACAGTACCAACGTAAACGCAATTAGAAAGTAGAAATTGGTATTATTGAATTTGGACAAACCGAAAGATATTTTTTATTTATGTTGCAAAAACAAACTAAACTAACCTAACCTTCCTAGGCCTAATACATGATATCTGATGCCTAATATAGTACATATGTGTGCTATACTAGGCCTTGGAATATTTAAGTTTGCTTTTAAGCATCATTTTTTTAGAGACTATAAGGTGTCTGAAAAATGCAAAAATATACTGTAATATAAAAAATATAAAGTGTAAAGTATAAAAAAAATATAAAGTGTCTGAAAAGTATACAAAATTATACTATCTAATTGCTTAGTACAGTACATCAATCTTTGTACTATGGTGCACATAGTTAAAAAAAACTACTATATAATCTGGAGGATGGGGTTGATTTTCTACTAGGTGAACAAAGGCATTAAGTGAAGGGAAACATGCCCAACCATTTCTGTCCCACTCAGGAGTCAAACCCAGGAACTCTGATTGTGAGTTGAGAACGAAGCTAACTGTACTGTGAGACCCATAGTACTCTAACGTGCCACTAGGGTCTTCTGGGTTGTACATAAATTGGCTATACATCTACAGTATTACAATGCAGAATATTTGTTTAAAATAATTAAATTCAAACAAATGAATAGCTGCACTGTACAATACTGTTTAATTACATTTCACTGGATTTATATGTATGCATGTAACATTTCTGGGCTCATGTTTTCACTATCTATAAAAATCAGAAGACCTTATTTGCTAGATATACAATCATAGGCCATTAGCCTGTCTGTTAAGCTAATGCTATTTCTTGTCCTAATGCTATGTTATGCTATTTCTCATGTCCTAATGTATTTAAAAAGATCATTTTCATTATCAGTCTTCAAGCCGAGTTTCTTTGAGTGATCATACCAGAAAATTATCTGGAATCTATAGCAGGCGATTGCTATGGTCTGTTGCATGTTTGCTAACTGGCTTAACTTTATATACAGTATTTATTTCTGACCAGATTTATACATTTACCCATCCTTTCCAAACCCTTTGGACATCAAAGCTACCATGTATTTTAAATTTCCTTATTATTTTATTTTCCAATATGCACATGGCTATTTTTCCAATCATTTTTGTGTATCTCCCTTGGCATTGAAATTAAAATATACCCATTTTTCAGCATGGATCAATGTATCTACATCATAACAACCATCACAGTAAATATTCAGACAACTTAATGCATGGACACGAACGTGCCACTTCACATTCCGGTAGAAGCTTAGCAGAAATTGCAAGATCCAATAGAAACAGGCAGAAGAGGAAAAGGAAAATGAGAAACAGAAGACTTCGAGAATGGTCATGCAACAGTAATCAGGGAGTTCTGAGTGATACAGAGATATTACACTCACAAATGAGCCAAGGGATGCATATTAAAGATGCTGATGACGAGGAGGAGGAGAGTATGGAGGTGACTGAAGACTTCTTGAAATTTCTGGAGCAAAGTGAGAAGCATCGAGAACAGTGGAAAGTTAGAAAAGAAAGGTTAAAATCTGATGGGTCTGTAACACCTTCAGAAGAACCAGTTGCTGAGACAGAGCCCAAGGTCAGTATTAGAATTTAAAAAATGTGGAAGAGGGGGAAATTATTTTAAATTTTCTTATGTTGTATCTTCTGACAAGTGAAGGAAAATACTATTGTATGTAGTTCTGTATTTGGACAATTAAAACAAAAAACAGGGATGTAAGGAATATTTGAGTGGGTAGAGTGGAGACAGGTTAATTGGGTTGGTTTTTGGGAGGGCACCTTATCCCTCCTAGTGATCTTTAGGAAGATCAGACAAAATAAAAGACAAACTTTGTTTGTCTTTGGTTTTATCTGAACAGGATAAAATGTTCGGGCAATTTATCCTGTTGCGGCAGTAATCAAGGTCCCAGGTTTTTCGCTTTGGTATATTTAATGCCTCTAACCTCTCCTCGCAGCTCTTTTTTTCAGTTGTGTCATTTACTTGGTGTTCCATCTCATATTTGAATAGCACCTTCATATATTACATATGATCTTTTTAAATAACATTCATGTACTGTAAGTAAGGAAATGGAAATTTTATTATTGTTGCATATTTTGCTAAAATATTGCCCCCTCCTTACAGGGTGCCTTTTCACCCTGATTTGTTATTGGTTCCCTTGAGGAGGGGTTATCTTGAGGTTATCTTGAGATGATTTCGGGGCTTTAGTGTCCCCGCGGCCCGGTCCTCGACCAGGCCTCCACCCCCAGGAAGCAGCCCGTGACAGCTGACTAACACCCAGGTACCTATTTACTACTAGGTAACAGGGGCATTCAGGGTGAAAGAAACTTTGCCCATTTGTTTCTGCCTCGTGCGGGAAACGAACCCGCGCCACAGAATTACGAGTCCTGCGCACTATCCACCAGGCTACGAGGCCCCTAAATTTGAGATTTGGGGTATTTGAGAAATGTGAAGAATTTGTTGTACTGTACCCACATTCATTATTTGAGATGGATTTCTTGATGGGGTCCCAGGTGTGCACTTCCAGGTTTGAGTATCACTATTTTTTGGGTCCTTTTTCAAGATCAGAACCTTATGTTTCTGATGGATTTTTTTTTTTTTTTTTTTTTTTTTTTTTTTTTTTTTTTTTTTTTTTTTTTTTTTTTTTTTTTTTTTTTTTTTTCTCTCTCTCTCTCTCTCTCTCTCTCTCTCTCTCTCTCTCTCTCTCTCTCTCTCTCTCTCTCTCTCTGTGGGAAGCCCCATCGGTTCCCTGAAAGTATCTTACTGATCAAGTGCCATACTTCTTGAGTGTCATCAGTTGCAGAGTCCTTTGTAAGTTTACCGGGGACCATGAGCCAGAACCTAGCCCCCCCCTCAGAGAGGTGAAGGAAGCAGTGACCATGAACACTTTACATATAAATTATGTCATCTTGCCATTGACCTGAGCAGGACCTAAAAGGATAGACTAATTAAAATAGACATCCTCACAAGGCAAAAGAACTCCTCCAAAAAGTAAACAACCAAGCAAAACTTTGTCCAACTAACCCCCCACTCGTTAGCTCCACTTTCCCTGCACGGGGGGAAAGGGGGAGCCGGCCTGGGTAAATCAGGCCACCACCATTCAGTTCATTGACTTATGTCGTGCCGAGTGGTTGCTGTCGCTCTCACTCTGGCTCCGTGTTCCTGTTTTCTTTGGTGTTTCACTCTTGTGGCAGTGTTATAAATGGATGTGTGCATGTTACCAGGAGTTTCGAGTATTAGAATAGCATGCGCCTAGGATTCCCTTCCCTAGGTGCTCTGTAAGTACGGTACTGCCCTTGTGTCTCAGGGTTCTCTTCCCTGGGGTGTTTTGGAAACTCTCCCCATTAGAGGGCTTCCTCGCTTGTGGTTTGTTACGAGCTGTTGATTATGACGTGAAAAGTCTAGTATCCCCTAGAATTCCAACACTCTGTATTCTGGAGCAGAAAATGGAGGAAATTGAAACAGGCAGACACAAGTTTCACCAGTATAATCTAGGACTCCACACAAAAATCTAAAAAGACTACTACAGTACTACACCTGACTACTACAGATGACTTGTCCAGTATTGAGGGCAAAGTCCAGTCCCCACTTCTAACACATTGAGTACTAAATAATAATAATAGTAATAATGGCTACACACTCCAAGTACAAACACATTGATAACCTCATTCTATCCTATTAAAACTGAACAAAACTTATCTTTATTTTGAGCCATTTGCTCATAGGATCACTCATCCATCCTACCACCAGGCCACTCCAGTTCCAACTTACTCAAAACTGTGCACTTACAGCCTACATGCAGCCGGTGTTTGGTCGCCATGCATTCGGATGCGAATATGCCTAATAACTCACCACTAACAGATCTTCCTAACTCATTCATTTACTTAGAGCTGCTAAGCAAAATCAAGCTGATCATTACTGGGACAACATCTAAGTAAATGAATCAGTACTAATTAGTTACATAGTATCTAAACATATGTCCTTAAACAGGTCTGGGATGGTAGGCCTGGCCTAGCTTTTCCTGCTGCCACATGCACACAGACTGAGAGTAACATCAGCTGTCAGCTGTCAAGGGCATCTGACAACTGAGTGGACAGCACTTCAGATTCGTAGTCCTGAGGTTCCGGGTTCGATCCCCGGTGGAGGCGGAGACAAATGGGCAAAAAGTTTCTTTCACCCTGATGCCCCTGTTACCTAACAGTAAATAGGTACCTGGGAGTTAGACAACTGCTACGGGCTGCTTCCTGGGGTGTGTAACAAAATGGAGGCCTGGTTGAGGACCGGGCCGCGGGGACACTAAGCCCCGAAATCATCTCAAGATGACCTCAAGATAACATTACTGCTAAACAAGACTACTGACTGAATAAACTCTCACATGTGAGAGGTATATGAATATCAGCTTATATAATGTAAGCTTCTAACTGAAATACTGACATACACAAGAATTACAGTAACTGACATGAAGTGAGGTGGCAGCAGACCGCATGTTGCCACATAGTGAGAGTGACTCTTCCTCTCAGCAACTGAAAATTTCCACTATAACCAAACAATACATAGGAAGTTAAAACATACTTGGCCAACAGCCTCATTCATCCACACATTTAAGGCACAACTCCAGAGCTCTGCAACACATCTCTGGGTCAAAGAACATCAAGCACTCCTCATGCATTTCTCAGATACGCGACAGGGTTGGTATCCATACTCCCCTCACATCCAGTCAAGCCTAGTCCAGGCTCCAACTGTATCATCTTGCTCCCTCTAGTGGCGCTCCCGCGCTCCCTCACACATCGCCATACAACACTAAACACGCTATTACAACACCTCAAAATACTGTCCTCCTTCAATTATATGTAACAGGTAACAATAAAAGGCAAGAACCTAACATCTTATTACATCTATAAAAGATCATATGCTTAATATCTGTACATAATGTTACGAGTCGGTTCTTCTGTCAATTTGATATAAGTGGATCATAACATGGTTGTCCTCACCTTTGGGGCGAGTCGGGTGTCTTGGGCTTTCTGCTTTGCCTGGGTGGGGGTGTGATTGCTGGTGGGGCGCACTGTTGCTAGCGCAGCCTGCATTACTATCAAGTGGCGGCCGGTGTTTCTCTCTGGCTGCTAGTTTGCTTGTTGTGTAATTTCGGGAGTTTCTTTTGTTTTTATTTTTGCGTTTTATCCTGTTGTGGCAATGGAGGTCTGCCTAGCTTCTTATTCACCTAGCTTCACCTAGGTTGTGATGGTGGTCCTCTTCTGTTGCCCCCGAGGTTTCATAACTGCTCCTTGCAGTCGGTTTGCTTACTTTAGACAGGGTTTACCGGCTTAGCTGGCCCCAGTGCCTGGGCTTTCCGTAGTGCTTATTCACTCCACAGGCCTTGGGAAACCCCTGTGGGCTTGGTCGTACCATGGTACTTCTTCTGGGCTCACTCTCTCCTTGGGCGACTTTGAGGCTTGTTCGTCACCCCTGCCTCAGGGAGACAGTCATGCATCCTGTCTCTGTCATGCTGCCTTGGGGTCGGGGACACCTGCAACCCGGGGTCTGGCATGACTGGAGGCGGCGGCCCTATTGCATGATCGGTTCTCCTTATTGCAACGGGCCAGGTTAGTTGCCCGGTTGGAGGCCCCGGAGCTGCCTCGCTTGGATTTTGGGGACTCGGTTTTTGGGCGTCGGTCGTTTCGGCCTTGGTTCAGTCAGTGCCTCCTCTTCCTTCCCAGATGGATGTGGTTTGCCCTGCTCCTCCTCCCCTGCTTCCAGCTCCCAAACGTCTGAGGGTTTAAGGGTTGGGGTGGGGTTTAGCTCGGGGCAAGGCTCGGATGGCTTCCGGGGCTGCCCCCTTGCGATGCGGGTGCAGAGATGATTTAGCCCCCTCTTTCCCGCCGAGGCTTCTGAGTCGATCCAGCAGACGCCCTTCTTCAAAGCCTTTCCCTTGGCCTCTGTCTTTCCTTCTGGGGCAGTGGGTGTAGATGAGGGCTCATGGGGTTTCTTTTGACCCTGCTTGCGCCCGTGTGCCCTCTGCTCAGGGGGTTTCTTCTGCAGGGGTGGGGATTTTTGTATGCTCCTCCCCTTTATGAGTGTGTTGGGTGCGGCTCACTCCCTGGGTTCGTTTCCGGGGACCTTTGGGTTTCTCGGATTTGTCCATTTGGGGATTTTATTCCCCTGCAGATATTTGAGAGGCTTTTAATGCTTACCTCCTGCGGGACCCGGCTTATGCCTCAGTGCTGGATCCGGCTTCTTTGCAGTTCGGCTCCTCTTCCCATCTTGGGGGCGTTCCGTGATACCAGTTTTTTCTTGGCTGGCAGACTATTCCTTCTTGATCCAGTTCAAATCTTTCCCTGATCCATTTGCTTCTTCCCCTGTTGACCAAGCTGGAGCCCTTTGTAGGCAGTGTTCTACAGGTCTCCAAGTATGCTGGTTCTCCCTATTTCCTGACCCTTCTCACATATTCTCCCAATCCCTTTCCTTCTCAGGCTCCACCTCTCTCCACGGTTCGCCGATGCACTCTGCCTTAATGGTTTGTGGTTCTCCGCTGATCTTCGCGAATGGGATTTCTTCGCCTTGTACCATCTCTTCTGTGTTGGTGTCAAGTGGTGGGTTTCTTTCTGATCATTACTGTGTGCTGTTATATTAAACAGTATGGGAGAAAATTGATATTTTTAAAGCAAAATTTCTGGAATGTTTAATTATGGGAGAAAATTTATATTTTTAAAGCAAAATTTCTGGATGTTTAATTATCAGAGAAATTTTTCCTGTTCACATCATTTTTTCCCCCTCAGGAGCATCCAGATGTTGTACGGGGTCGTGAGATGCAACAGTTATATGGACCTGCATCTGCACGCATACATGCCATGGAAACAGCCCTCCAGCTTTCATTTGATCGTTTCTCCACATTACATGAACCACAGTTCTGGCCTAACATACCTATTAATGTCATATTTAGTTAGTCATTAAATTCACATTTTATTCTTGGGTTCACATATTTTCAGTACTGTATTTACAGCAGTACTAATTAACTCTAATTATCATTCAAATCCTGTTTACTGTTAAATCAGTTTGCTGTTTGAATTGATACTTGATTTGCCTCTCAGCAAGGGCATTTGATGCTTAAGCATATTCAATGAGCACTTTGCAGGTCATAAATTTATATAAAAAAGTAATCCTTTAATATGATGTAGTCCAAGTATGTTTGGAAGAAATTTTTTAACTTCAAACAATATTTGACAATACAGTACTGTATCTCCACAAAAAGTAAGTCCTCAGTTTTCACAAAAAATGTATTTCTGGAAGATCTTGTACTTTTCGAATTAGCAAAAATCAAACTTAAGTACTGTATACTGTATATAGGAAAAATAGGAGTGTATTTCAGAGGTCTTCAACTGTCCACATTTTGTCCACTCCTCTCTCAATGAAACATTTGCTTGAAACATGATTACTAAGTACAGTACTCTCACCAATTTCCCACCTACACTCGCTAATGGTGTAGATAAAAGTAAACATTACTTTTCATTTCTTTGAAGGTATATTTGGGCACAGCCGGAGTTGCAGAAAGTTTGGGGTGCCATGACTGAAAAATGATACCCAACAAAAAGTGTGAGCTTACTGTATACAGTATTATAGTGGTTTAGCATTTTTTTTTAATCATAGTTTAAAAATAATGAGAATAATTGTTATAGTTGTGGTAAAGAAATTGAGCCTGTGTTAAGGGGGATACATATGTAGCTTTTATTTTGACCTTAGGTTTATTCAGTTAATGGCCATGTACTATTCTATGAAAATATGTCTGACCATATTTACTTAAATATTTGTTCAATTGGGTTTAAAACAGAAAGTAACAAAAATATTATAGAATGTGGTAGAGTTACTGAACCTATAATATTTTCAAAAAGATTGTACAATTGGTTGTAATTTTGAGCTCGTTGAGTACTGAACTACAATTAAAAAAAATGTTCAGTGTACGTGCCGGCTTGCACTCAGACCCACTGACGTGTGTTGCACATATTGTCAATAAAACTATTTTATGGTGTAGTGTTTTAAATTTTGTTATGCAACAAAATTCATACTGTAGTCAAATAATGAACATATGTTTATTAGCAATAGACGTATGCAATAGCAGTAGTACATAGTTCAGTTCTAATTGAGATTTCCATGCTTAGCATTGTCGACATTGTATAGCATGCGTGTATTTATATATAAATATACAGTATACAGTATATACATGTAGGAAGGGGTCTCCTTCCATCGCCAGCTGGAAAAAGAGACCCTTAGCCTCGGAGAAAAGCACACACAACGCATTAGAGGGGATTTTAAGTCCCCCTCTAATACAGTTTATATGTGCTTTTGTCCTACCACCCCCTTCCTTTTGTGTTTACTAATAGTTTACAAAATAATCTGCATATAGTATACCAAAATACTATATAAAGAATTATGTAAAGGTACAACCCTGGGCCAGCTATTGACTGTCCCACTAATATACTCAAAGAATGGGAACTTGGATATCTACACCTTTTTTGGATAAACTATCTTTTATACCATGTATGACTTGAGAAAACTGTAATATATTTTTAAACCTAATAATTTATTCATTTTGACATTAAAATCTTTTATTATGTACTGTATAAGGAATTAAGAAAAATATTCCTTTGAAGCCAAAGAGTTAGAGGTTTCAGGCATGTTTTTTGTGTTCTTTTTTAAAGTATTAAAATATTAGTGTTTCAATGGTTACTAGGAAATATATATTTTAATACACACATTGATCAGCTTCAATTTTTACTTGTCAGAGATGAATATTTGAGTGTACAGTACAAATATTTGTGCAGCCCGAGTGATCATTCATTAATTATCAACTACAGTATTTATTGAAAGCTCTCCCTAAGTTTTAAGTAAACTCAACAACTGCCAACAGCTACAGCAATCTACAATCTTCTAAATATACAGTAGAATCCTGGTCCTGCACAAGGGAACTTGACATGAACTGCTTCCATGTGAGTTATGAAATTTAGAACATTTTTAGATTTGTCAGTCAATAATGAGCGTTAAATTTGTGTCGGTTTGGTATCAGTAAAGGTTTTCTGAACTTAACCCAGTTGATCTCTTCTTGGGTAAGTATCCAACTCTTGAATGGACATAGCCAAATTCCAGTCTGATCAGTTTGACCTTTACTTCAAATTCAGTTTCAAACATAAATGTCTGTTTAGTACATTTACAGTTGGGATTAGGTTACATAAGTTTCCAGTGAATTTACCTAAGAAAAAGTCTTATAAACAACATAACATGAATATCTGATGATGAGAATACAATTTAAAGGACTACTATAAACTAATTAAATTAATTTATAACAAAAACAATTTCACATCTACAGCACACTCAATCAAGAGAAGGGCTAACCTGGATCAAAACCACTCGGACACAGGTCATGCAACATAGATCTGACTCCCATAGGATTCAAAATGCCAGTCAAAGTCATCTCTTTGTAAGGGTAGTTCCTTCAAAATTCCATTTATCCAGCTGGGCGTGTCTGCTTTATCTGGTGATTCGTGGTTTTATTCTGCCCTGTATACCAGAGGTTTCTTATGCAAAGTGCAAGGATTTCTACACACACCGCCTCTGTCAGGCTGCCAATGGTGGAATGGAAACACTGGGAAATTCTCAATTTAGCACAGAATGACAAATTGCTAATTAGGTATCTTGTCATCTATTCCAACCTGCCAAAGATGTCATTTTCTGCACTGTCACCAAATGTGCCTTGAAAATGCTACCTTATTTACAGTCAGGGTTGATCCCTGTCAGATGGAGCAGTGGCAAAGTTAAGTATTTAGTGTTCATCAGTTCATTAATGTTCTTGAGTCTCTTCTTGGGCTTGTAGTTCCGTGGATGCTTGCATGGGCATGTTCTTAGATTTATTGACATGCATTACAGAATTATATTGTTTGTGCTGGCTTAGAAGTGGGTTCAGCAGGGGTTTTCTCCTCTTGAGCAAATCCCGACCTCTCACAGTTCCTCGTGGTATATTGTTGGGTAGTGGTGAATAATGATGTGTGTAAATTCCAAACACAAGTTCAGTGCTTGCAATGGATTACTCGTGTACATTTGCTTCATTCATCACATCAGGTTTCACTTGTTACGAGTTGTACTCTCATTCATTCCTGTCTGGTTTATAGAGTTAAGTTACAGTATGCTGAGAATAAGAGTTTTTAACTCTATGTCTGTATCAGGATTTGCTGTGTGCCAGCTTTCCAGGTGAGACCTGATCTGGGTTTCATGTTCTTTGCAACCTACTCTCCTGGGTTTGCACAGGGTTGTGTGTGTGTGTAGGGGGGGGGGGATGATTGACAGTTGTGAGGCGGGTTGAAAGAGCAGAGCTCAACCCCCGCAAGCACAACTAGGTGAATCAACCCATCCTCGACTCAAGTCCATTACATCTAGCGGTCGACCCTACAGACGCATTCATAATTTTTTACATGCTCTTCATTCAAAACGAATTTTCTCAAATATAATATTATAATATATTAGCATATTGTGCATATATAGGCATAGGTTAGGTGTTTAGGTTCTGTTGGCTATTATTTGCATTTGTAGTACGTGAGTGAAGCATTTACAGCGTTGTGGTTCGAACAAGAGTCGTCACTTGAAGCACAAGTTCCGGAAGTGTTCGAACATCAACAGTTGAGTCGTGTGTAAACCATTTTTCATTCATAAACGAGGTTTGGCAGGTGCATGGAATCACTTTTGGGTCTTTGGAGGACAGGGTGAGGTGAATACAGGATTGAGCAGTAACCTGATTAGGTATGCTTCCAGCACTGGGAATTCTCATTGGTAGTACTTTTCCTATACATTATTTACCTTCTTACCTAGAGTGTTAGCCAAGAGGCACCTTAGGATTGTGCCTCACCTTGTTTGGATTGATCACAGTAGTGTGCTTTCTCATGCAATACTTGTAATATCCTGCTGTCTTGTGAAGTTATCTTTGATGTTTTGCCTTGAGATTGATTCTCCACCAATTTAGGTTTAGTTGCAATGCTGAAAGTACAGTACTCACTTAGGTTACAATTGTATGAAAAATCTTGCCAGTCAGCTAGGGCGAGTTAAAACCTGGACCGAGGCTCAGTAAGTGTTGGTCAGTTATATTGTTGTATATGGTTCTCCTTTGATATTGGCTGTTTTTTTTTAATAAAGTTTGAGCCTCCGCCTGTTTGGATTCCAGATAGTTTTGTCGCTATCCCCGGTACCAGAGACCAGTACATTCATAGCCATCTCTGGTACCAGAGCCAATGTACTGGGAAGCTACCAAGGGCCAAGTAATTATCAAAAAAAGGCACCAAGCCGGGAAGGCTATGTAGCACCATCAAATTTGGGAGATATTCAAAAGGTGCTAAATATCGCTAAGGATGCCAATACGAGAACAAAAGCGCATAAAGCGAACAATATCTAAGGTACCCAATTCACCAAGGATTCTATTGAGTGACAGGCGACTGCGAGGGGCAGTCAGGAAGCAAGTCAGAACATTCAACAAGCATATGCACGACTGTAAGAGGAGGCAATGCAGTTTGTACATTAAGCATCAGGGCGACACTCCAAGTGCCCGCGAGTTACGGGTATGGCCGTTTCCCACGGTGGTAGGAAGGCCATGGGAATACACTACCCTCAAGAGCAAATGGCTTGTTACCAGCAATCCTGCTAATGGGCACGGATTCAGGAATGAATAACTAGATAGAAGTTGAAATAAGAAACATGTTTGTGGGAAATGGACAAATGCAGATGGCCACCTTCGCGGCAGCATCCGCACGCTCATTTAAGGAAGCACCAATATGGCTCGGAACCCAGCAAAACTAGTCTTAAATCTGCTGAGATAAGAAACAGTCAATGCTGAATTTCGACTACCACAGGATTAAAGGACTCCAGAGCTATAAGGGCACTGCAAGTCAACTACAACAAATGAAGATTGACAGCAAGAAAGCAGTTGAGCATACAAAACTGCATAAAGGTCTGCCATGAAGATGTGTGTCTGGGAGCAGGCGACATATAGGTATATGTAGTTAGGAAATACAACAGCGTAGCCTACACTATCGGCAGACTTAAACCCTTCAGTGAAAAACTGAATGAGTGTGTGGGGTAAAGTGAGAAAGGAAAAGGCAGTTCAGAATTGTAGGAGGGGTAAGAGCTTTAGTCATGCGAGTCAAGGTTTCACAAAACTTAGGAAGAGGCCCCCTCCATCAGGGCAAGGATGGAACGACACGAGAAATATTGGTAACGAACCGAGGAAGAACTTTACAAGCTAGACCAGCATACAGAAAGGGGAAGGTGGTGAAAGGGAACAGGGCCCCACAGGAGGGAATAATGGTTAAAGTACAACAAGAGTGTGAGGGTGTTGTAGGGACTGTGCAAAGTAGCGATCTTGTAGACAAGATGCCGGTTTCAACATACAGGCTCTGGGTAGAAGTCGAACGAAAGGCACCAGAGCTGATGCGTAACCCAGTATGGTGAAGAGCATCAAGACGACAAAGGCAGGAAGTAAGGAACCATAATTGAATTTAGATAGCACGAAAGAGGAATGTAAAGATGTGCGCGCGCCTATCAGCTCCCCAGGAAGTATGGGACAAGACCTTATTGAGTCGGAGAATGGCACAAAAAAAACGAACAGGTAAAAATTTCATCCATGAACAAGCCCCCATACCCACCATGGAGCCACAATTAGTTGATACAACACCCAACAAGATGGGGGCCCCCTGGGGTGCATCGTGAATATACACCCGGCAATCACCACCTTAAGAACCATCAGTTCGTCGAGATCGGGTTCAGCAATGCAGGCAAAGTTTAACAATAAAAGCATTCCCTCACTCGACGTTGTCAGGTACCCCAGTTCTACAGGCAAGTGCGCGCGCCTCACCAAACACCCAGCGTCAAATCAGAAGAAATTGGAAAGAATCTTAAAGAATGGCAAAAAGTCGGCAGGAAGGGAACAATCAGAAAGGAGAAGTGGGGAGGAAATAGGAAACATGACGATGAGAAAGCAACCAGCAAAATTTGTAAGGATTGCAGCAAGAGCATAAGGCTTCAAAAGAACAGAGGAGAAGCTGTCCCAAAGAGCATCACACTCTGGCAGTCACCCACGACGGCAACAGATGTTATGACTAGTCAATAGTTTTTTTCATGTTTCATACATTCAAAGTTACTCAATAGGAACCAAGTCACATTAATGGTAAATGATTAACCAATCATGCCATTATAAATTTTTAATTGTGTAATTAGATACCCAGACTTAGTGATTTATTTTAAAATATTTTGCAGGAAAAAATCAAAACTAGCAGTACATTAAGGTGTGACATATTTATCATGACACGCTGCACACTGTACACATGGGTACAAAACCCCCAGGACTGACCACAGTGGTGTTACAAACAAGTGTGAAAAATACACTGGCTATACTCCATTACACTGTCCATAGTTAGTTGCAGACATGCAGCAGTAAACATTATAACACAATGATTTTACCAGTCAAAGCATCGAGTCTGTCAGACTTCCATCCCTAGAGACGAGTCTGTCTCGCTCAAAATTAAGTGTTTACAAGGAAATGTTCACACATGCAAGAAACTTCTCTGTAACTATACAATTTGATAGCCAATATCTATCAAATATTTAAAAAACACAGGTTCAAGTTTACCAACACATGTTCACAGGCTACTAGTAATGACAATGAATGAAGAGGTTAAATGTACATAAACTACTTGTGGGGGCAGCAAAGAAAAACAAATATAAAATACAAATGTGATAGAAGACAAGAACATACCACACCAACTTATATACACGGGATTTTTCTTTTGTACAAACAGCTCTTGCATACTACAATAATGTACAAAAAAGGACTGACTAAACCAAACACAGATCATGATTTTCACAAAGGTAGCTATTTTAAGCTGGAATAAACTAACAAGAATGTGACCTGACCAGTGCAAATGAGTCTTGTTATAGGACTGTCCAAGCTTTTTCTAATTTTCTATAATCCACAGGAAAACTCTCAACTTGGCAGAACCTAATGCTTAGACTGAAAGACACTGATCAGGTCAGGCTTCAGTGTAAGACCATGCCACGTCACACCTTATGAAGGGCTGCGTGTTTTAGAGTATGTATATTTAGCTACATCTTATAATGTCAAGTTGCCCTGGAGACAAGTACCACAAGTCCTTGCTCTTAGGCCAGTATGCACACGAGTCCCTCATTCGAATGTCTTTGGAGACTATGTTTCAAACCTTGCTACTACCTACACTCGAGGGACTGACACCTACACTGCCCTCTACTGTCAACCCTGTAGATACTTACATCAAACAAGGTTTCCACAACTTCTCAGCAGTACCTTGAATTTATGCTATACAAAGACAATTTTTATGTCTCAATTGCAGTCCCAGCTTCCATTTATCCTGAACTTAAAAACAGGAAAAATGAAGCCACACTAGCTTCAAGACTAAGTTCAACTAAACATAATTAGCAAAGGCCAGATCAGGATATACAGTAATTCAACTTAACTATAACTTTCATAAAGGTACAAAAATCAATATCTATGTCTTCAGAAGTGATCCTTTTCATGAAATGGTTAATCTACAGGGAGATAACTAAAATAAATGAAATTTTTTCTTTGTTAAATAAAATAACAGGAAACTTGAAATGCTATACTGACACCCAAGTCTTTCACAACTTCTGGTTTGGAATTGTTGCCTTGGGATGTAATGGCTTAACATTTTCTAAAATTCCTTTTTGTTTTATAACTTGTAAACATGAAATAGTGCCTGGGTAAATTCAATGTCCCCAAGCAAATTTAAGACATTAATGCTTTACCTATTGCTAAATGATATATATTAAAAAGAGCACATGAAATATTTCAAAATGTGAGATATAACTAATCACAGGCAAAGGTGATGCTTCATGAAATGCGAATGCTGTTCATTTATGGGCAATAAAATTATATATTAATATTCTGCATATTTATATAAAATTATCAATTCTTTAAAAAGAAATGCAAGATACTTTATCCCTCTTAATTTTATTATCACTATTCAGTAATATGTCAAATAAATTAAAGCAAGCTAACTGGTTTGCTTAAAAATTACAAGATAATGTTGGTTACACGTGTTTTTTTTAATATAGCTTCCACAAAGCCCTTAAAACCTGGGTAAAGTGAAGGCAACACATTTCTAATTGGTTTATCTTGTAGCTTCTTTCAAGCAAATTTGTATATAAAAGTATTAGAAATTAACAATGGCCAAATACAATCTCAATGGAGCTAGCAAATTAAGTCCACCAGACAATGGATATATGTCCCCCCCTGAAAAGTTTGACAAGTTTGTGTTGGTTTGTGGTAGAAAATGGCCGATTGCTACCTAGTGGTCTTGGGCGATGGCAGTGGAAAGTCTTCAAAGGATGAATTTACCAAGAATGAAGCCAACAATAGCAATAATGACAGCAGCAATAAAGTGCATCATGGGATTTGCTTGTTGAGTTCCATGCTGTGGGATGATGCTAGCAACCACATTTTGTTTCTTCTCTCCTGTGCTACCATGTGAGCGCTGCCTCAGTGAGTCCTCCTGTTTATGAAAACAAATCATGAGTAGGACTTGTTTAACAAACATTTTATTTACACGTGCACTTAGTAATGCACGTGTAAGCCTAATAATAATTAAAGGATAATGCCAATTAAAGGATGCTATCAGTGTCTTCCTACAATATATTGAATCAGATATTTATGTACTACTCATTTCACCTTATTTTAGTTGCACATCGGAGTTTAATACTACTGTAGAAGCAATAAATTTGACAGGATATTAAAAATAATAGAAGAAAACAATTAAAAGCCTTAAAAACTAGGAAACTGCAAGCAGCCAAAAGTCAGTACTAAATCAAAATCAGATGTTAAAACAGAAGTTACGGTATTTCCTGATTTTATAAATCACTATTTCCATGCTTGAAATAGGATGGATCATTTTCAAACATTGGTGTGTACAGAGAAGACTGACCTAATAGCATTTACTATATGGCAAAATGTAAACTTAGAGAGACCTAGTAAAGTATCAAATTTAACAGATACAAAGGGTCTACACTTCTTCCATGGTGTAAATCAGGATTTATAAAATCAGGAGTGGCATTATTTATGAGGGAGGACCTGAAATGTTGAACAAGGCAAAGATGAACACCAAGGATTATACGGGAACTTTGGGTAGAAGCAGCTGAGAGCAACAAGGTTATAATTGGAGAAATACTGTATATAAGGTTCCAAAATGTCATGAAAGAAATCTGTAAAGGCTTCTAGAAACAGAATGTGAGCATTTTTTTTGGAGACTTCAACTATGAAGGTAACGTCATAACCTAACGAAGGTAACCTCGCGATAACGTTATCGCAGTTCTTAAATCAATACATAAACAGTATTTTGGCAGAGGACGTTAACAACGTTCACAATTAAAATATTTAAAATAACTCCATTTGTTGTCAGATTATTATGGGATTTGTTTTAAACTACTCGCTATTCTATTGCCAACAATTTGGTACAAAATGAATGACGTACCAAAAATAAGGTCATAAAACTGGAAATAGTATAAACCTTTGAGTGTGGTGGCACTGGCCGATTATGCTACTGCCGTTATCAAAATAAAAACAATGCCATTTTTTTTTTTTTTTTTTTTTTTTTTTTTTTTTTTTTTTTTTTTTTTAGATATATACAAGAGTTGTCACATTCTTGTACAGCCACTAGTATGCGTAGCGTTTCGGGCAGGTCCTTGGAATACGATCCTTGCCGCGAAGAATTGTTTTTTACAACCAAGTACACTTTTTACTGTTGAGTTAAACAGAGGCTACAGTTAAGGATTTGCGCCCGGTAAATCCTCCCCGGCCAGGATACGAACCCATGACAAAGCGCTCGCGGAACGCCAGGCTTACCACTACACCACGGAGACTGGTAAATTTAAAGTCCGATTATTATGAGGTTCCTCGAGGTTATCTTGAGATGATTTCGGGGCTTAGCATCCCCGCGACCTGGTCCTCGACCAGGCCTCCTTTTTGTTACACACAGTATGAAGCAAGGAAGCAGCCCGTAAATAATTATCAAAAGAAAGCACCAAACCGGGAAGGCTATGTAGCACCATTGAATGTGCAGAATAATCAGAGAGCAGTAAATATCACCAAGGATGCCAATATGAGAACAGAAACGCATAAGGCGAACCATATCAAAAGTATTCGATTCACCAAGAATTCTATTGAGGGACAAGCGACCGCAAGGGACGGTCGAAAAGCAAGACATGCTCGTCCTGGAAGTCAGGACATTCAACAAGGATATGCATGACTAAGAGTGACAATACAATTTGGACAATAAGGAGCAGGGCGGCGCTCCATTAAGTGACCGTGAGTTAAGCGCGTATGGCCAATACGCAACCTTGCCAGAGCCGTTTCCCGTCACCGGTTACGGTGGTAGGAGGAAGGCCATGAGGACAATACCCTCAAGAGTACGCAATTTGTTACCAGTAACAGAAGACCAACAATCCTGCCAATGGGTAAGGATGGAGGAATGAATAACTGGGCAAGTCAGAATAAGGAATACCTTTACAGGAGATGGGACAAAAGCGGACAGCTTCCCTAGCAACAGCGTCCGCACACTCATTTAAAGAAACACCAACATGGCTGGGAACCCAGCAAAACTCAACTAACTTAAATTTACAGGAAATAAGAAACAGCCAATGTTGAATCTCGACGACCACTTGATGGACCGGGGAGCGGGAGTGTGAAGAAAAATGCCCAAGGAAAAGGCGTTTCAGAACTGTAGGAAGGGTAAAAGCTTTAGTGATGCGGGTCAAGAAAGAACAAAATTTTGGAAGGGGGACTCTCCATAGGGGCAAGGAAATAATAATACGAGGAGAAATATTAGAAATACCAACCGAAAGAGAATCTTGTAAGCGAGATAACCGGACAGAAAGAGGGAGGTGGTGAAGAGGGACAGGAACTACAGGAGGGGTAAAAGTCAAAGCACGACAGAGGCGAGAGGAAGGATGTTGCAAGGTCGTATCTTGCGGATACGTTTCCAGATCTGCGGCAGAGGAGTTTCGGACGTAATGGTGGAAACATAAGACTTCCAAAACTCATGCATAGCTGTACGGATGGCCCTATGGGCCACTGCACTCGCCTTCCGAAAAAAAAAAAAATAAATTCGGCCATCTGCCAGCTGCAGTGCCTCTTCCAGGCTGCACGCTTAAAGCAGACAGCCCAAGCACAGTTCACATTCCACCAGGGAACGCACTTCCGTGATCCCCGAGAGGCAGCGTCGAAGATGGTGTCATGAAAGAGGAGGAGGGCGCGAGGGAGAGGTAGAATGGAGAGGTCAGAGACAGTAGCACGGAGGGTAAATAGCTTCCAGTCTGCCTTGGCAAATTACCACCTAGGGAAGGAGAGGGGAGGGCGAAAAGAGAAAAAGGTAACAAGGATGGGGAAATGGTCACTGCTATAAAGGTCAAGAACCCGCCACGTGAAATCCAAGTAAAGAGATGACGAGCAAGCAGAGAGAAAGATCAAAACAGAAAAGGATCCAAGAGTTCAAATGAGTGGGCTCACCAGAATTCAGAAGAGACAGGGAAGAAGAGAGGATGAATGGTTTGAGAAGGTGACCCCGGGTATTTGTCAGAACATCACCCCAGAGGGTATGTCGACAATTGAAATCACCCAGCAGGTGCACATGCTCCGGCAAGGAGTCCAGTAGGTGTTCAAGATCGGGAAGATTAAGCGGGATATTTGGAGGGAGATAAATGGAACAAACCGTGTACCATTTATGCATAAAGACACGTGCAGCAGAACATTGGAGAGAAGACGGAAAAAGTAGGGGGAACAAATGGGAACATCAGAACGAATCAAGAGAACAGAAGAGGAATGGGCCCTAGCAAAAGCTGGGAAGGGAGAGAAAGGAATAGCCACGGAAGCGATCAGGACGAGCACCAAGCATCGGCTCCTGGTAACAGACATAAAGGGGCGAAAACTGTGATATCAGAAGTTGGAGTTCATGGAAATTGGTATAATATCCACAAATATTCCATTAAAGAATAGACATCGACAAGAAGATAAAGGACAGCAACAGAGAACAATGAAGAAACAAAGGTGAAAATGGAACACAATATGTGAAAGAAGCGCAGGATCAGGATCAAGGCTCAGCGAAGTCAGGGTTAGGAGGCATAGGTAAACTGAGTAAGGATGGTGGGAAGGGAGCGGGAGGACTGACCAGAGGTAGATGAGCAGGATCTGGAGGAGGAGGAAAGGGGGGGGGGGGGGACAACCGAGGTTCAAAGACAGCATCAGCAGGAGGGGCAGAAACAACCAGGGAGCACACTTCAGCAATGGCAGCAACCGAGAGGGAAGCGGGAGCCAAGAAAACCACCATAGCAGGAACAGGGGGCGCAACCACCGAAACAGGACGGGATGGAGCGAGAGTGTCAGAGGTAGGGGGCGAGGACTTTTTACCTGCCAGGGAGGAGGAAGGAGATCAGCCAGGCTTTCACTTCTGACTCAAAGAGACAGGCGTCCTAGCAACAACAGACAACAGACTCAAGTGTCTCAACAGAAGAAGAACAAAAACAAACAACACGATGACCACTGGGAGAGTGATGGACATCAGCCTGCACAGACAAGTGGCGTGGAGAGCTAAGAGATGGAGGAGGAGAAGGATGGGAAGGAGGATCGGAGGGAGACGAGGAAGAAAATCACCAAAATCTATGGCAAGGCAAGGAATGAGAGATACCGAGACCTTACAAAGAGATCTACACGAGCTATACAAATTGTCGGAAGACTGGCAAATGTTTTATAGTGCTGCGTGATGCACCCTAATCTGAACTATTGTATCTAAGCATGGAGACCATTTTCAGAACGATATATCTCCTTTGAAGAAAGTTCAACACCAGGGGGAACTAAAATCATCTAGGGACTAAGTTGACTCGCCAGGAAAGGCTGAGGGCCACAGGACTAACAACACTGCAAACCAGACATAACAGGATTGAAATCAAAATTTTTTAAATACCTATACTGCAATTTGGAGCATGTTAATCCAAACCACTTTTAAAAAGTCAAATGTGACACACTTAAGGAACAACAGCTTCATGCTTAACAAGCCACAATGTGAGACAGAAAACAGTAGATGCTTTTTCACCCGCAGGGTTGTAAACCCATGGAACTGCCTACCTGCCAAAACCATAAATAATGCTAAGATAGTACTGCAATTCAAAATCCAGCTGGAAAAATAATCAGGAAAAATGGGGGTGGGATGAGGTGGATCTTTGACAAGCTGCCAGCTTCCTGTCAGCATGGAAGCCACCAGAGAAATAGTGGCCTTCAGGTAAATTACTTTGCCTCAGTGCTTATTAGTGTAAACCTAGCCAATTTTCCCAAAAAACAAGTAAAACAAAGGGATGGCAATGAAAAACTATGCAGCATTCAGGTTGAGAGCCAATATAATTAAAAAAATAAAAAATTAAAATCAAATCAACTGCCAGGCCCATATGGTGTTCAGCAGTCTTGAAGGAGTGCAGAGCGGCAGCTGTGACCCATAATAAACATATAAAATAAATAAATAAACCAATACAAGAATAGTCCTACAGCTTGGGAAATAACCAAAGTGGTATAGATATTCAAGTTGCCTGATGTTGAGAGTGGGAAAGTTCCTTGTGACTAATCAGAAAACTCACTTGACACAGCCTAATGAAAGGCTCTCTTGTGAGAGTGATCTCACCAATCTGCTATCCTTCTGCACAACATTTCTGGCAGTTCACAGCAAAAGCAATTATATCAATCTGGACCACTGTTAAGCTTTTGATTTTACCCCACAAGAGGCTGATCAGGAAAGTTAAACTCTCTGCATTGGAAGGAATGCTCTTTGTCAAATCTTGCTGGTTGAAGAATAGAGAACAGATTTAGCATTACTGGAGTGAAGGAGTGGAAAACAAAGTAATGACAGTGGCACTGTCTACCAGAAGACTAATGAGCCTTTGGACAAATCGAGTTGAGAAATGCACTTCAGGAATCATGATTGGTAAGTGACCCCAATGCCTGGCAACAGTGTAAGCGTATGTAATACAGTAGAATGCTTGGGTTTATAATCAGAAGCGTTTAAAATCAGCATCGTCCTCTAATTACATTTTGCCCTGGCAAGACGACCTTAGACTATCCCATTTAGTTCTGGTCAATGTTTTACAGAGGTCATCAATTCCATAGGACGTGTGTTTATCATAAAATGTACTTATTTTATTGGAGTTAATAGACAAATGTAGAGCAGATGTTTCACAACCACTCAAATCACTTGCAAAATCACCGAAGTAACAACAGAAATCAGAATGCAGATGTTGTATACAGACTTTGTTAATGCATTTAATAAATGTGATCATTGTATGGATAGCACATACAATGAGGGCTAAAGAAATAAAAGTTCACACAGCAAAAGTAACCAATCAAATCTTGACCTCACAAAATAAAATCTCTGTGCCACAAAGCATGGTTCTTGCACCATTACTTTCTCATCCTTATATCACAGATGAAAATACAACCCACATCCTAATGTTATTCTTTGTAGATACCAAACCCAACATAAAAATTGCTTCAGTTGAAGACACTGAAAATCTACAAAAGCTATTAACAAGTTTCTCAGTGGTCAATAAAATGGAACATCATGTTCAACTGTGACAAATTCAGATTATTTAGGTATGGAAAACCTAGAGAAAAAATGGCAATTCAAAAATAAATAACGAGACTTCATCAGATCGTCTCATAAAATGGAAATAACTGTACAACTATCAATGGGCCCTCAATTATTCAACTTCATTTCAGCAAATGTAAGAAATATTGGCAGATCAAAGACTGGTTTTCAACTGCAGATTAGACAGGTTCCTTTATGAACTTCTGGGTCACATTGTGATGGCTTTGTAGGCCTGCTGACCACTGCCAGAAACAGTTGTAGTAGCAAGTCATTACTAGAAAAGCTGGATTGGGATCACTCAAAATTTGCAACAGGTAAACCACATGTACTCCTATAACTCAAGAGCAGCTGAAAAAATAGCACCCGTTATCACCAAGTACCTGTACTATCTTCATTTAATTTCTGCATTTCTTCTATATCATTGGATAACTGTCCAGGAATATATTATGAACATACCTATGGAAAATAATGGTAGTTACTTCACATGTACAAATACCAAACCAAAATACTGCACAAGGTTGAGTACATGGACACTGTACCTTAAGCTGAAGATTCTCCTGACGAAGTGAACTGATCTCCTCCCGAAGTCGTTTTATTTCATCTCCAGCCTTCCTAAGTTCTGCATCACTGTTATTTATCTGCAAGAATATCAAATTAGTCAATTACATACTTTTTAGTCACCTAAATATGACAGCTTAACCCTTAAAGTGAGATTATTGTCATACATTGATTCAGTGGATAATTAGATAATCAATAAACATTGATTTTAGAGTACTGTCTGGTTCTTGCACCCATGATGCTAATATGGATATACTTGTTCTCCTTATTCATGCCCCCCCCCAACACACAAACAAAGAGGGCCTGTGGCTGAGTGGACAGCATTTGGGACTCGTGATCCTAAGGTCCAGGGGTTCAATCCCCAGCGAAAACAAATGGGCAGTTTCTTTCACCCTGATGCCCCTGTTACCTAGCAGTAAATAGGTACCTGGGAGTTGGAGAGCTGTTACAGGCTGCTTCCTGGGGGGGCCGATAGAGCCAGAGCTCAACCCCCACAAGCACAACTAGGTGAATACACACACAAACACACTCGTCTGTCCCACACAAAATTTCTACATTTCCAGCCACTGCATGGAAACATTGGGGAAAGCACTGGTTTAACAAGGGTGAAGCTGTGCCACAACAAACCCAATATCCGCTGCCTGTATAGTAGTTATAATTCACCTTTACTGGATAGATGGATAGATGGATATGGATGGATATATATATATATATATATATATATATATATATATATATATATATATATATATATATATATATATATATATATATATATATATATATATATATATATATATATATATATATATATATATATATATATATATATATATATATATATATATATATATATATATATATATATATATATATATATATATATATATATATATATATATATATATATATATATATATATATATATATATATATATATATATATATATATATATATATATATATATATATATAATATATATATATATATATAATATATATATATATATATATATATAATATAATATAATATATATATAATATAATATAATATATATATCTATCCAGTAAAGGTGAATTATAACTACTATACAGGCAGCGGATATTGGGTTTGTTGTGGCACAGCTTCACCCTTGTTAAACCAGTGCTTTCCCCAATTTCTGTCAGAGAACAGAAATCATCGATAGATACAGCGATAGCAGGCGGCTTGACGTTTGCGAGGCACTACACATCAAGAAGTCAACACCAGCAATCAACAGCCAATTATTGCACAACTATATTCTACCCACCTCAAGACTCCGCTCCAATATAGAAGCATCAAGAAATATGGACCAATAGGCTTTCTACAAACACTTCTATTCAATATCCATTGCTTCGTGTTCTGTCTTGTGTTGATGAAATTAATACCCTATTAATACTCTTGTTCTGTCTTGTGTTGATGAAATTAATACCCTATTAATACCACATTAGGGTATTAATATATATATATATATATATATATATATATATATATATATATATATATATATATATATATATATATATATATATATATATATATATATATATATATATATATATATATATATATATATATATATATATATATATATATATATATATATATATATTTTTTTTTTTTTTTCAAACTTATTATACCACTTAACCATCTTAAATAATTATACAATAATAATATTTACTAATTTCTTTCACTTAAAATGTAGGTAATAATCTGCACTACCTAATGTCAATAAAAAAATTAAAAACAACAATTATTTTTTCAAGCAGTGTCCTACTTTGAATCACTCATTTTATTACTCTTCACAAAATACAATAAAAGAATTAACATATTGATGTTATAGTGATCTCTATTATTGTTCAAGAATGCTAATTCCTCCTAATCTGTTTGAAAAATTGAATAAATAAGTCTTCTACTAGTTCATATATAACCAAAAGCTTCTACTATTTCTCTCTTCCAACTTGGAAACATTTTCCAAATACAGTACAGTATTCTTACAGTCCATGGCCTGCACCACAAATTATGGCAATTGTAAAAAAAATTTGGAATGGTTAACACTACCAAAACCATCATTGAAATTTCATAACAGCAAGTTGCTATGTATCACTTTCAAATAGAAATTTTTGCAAAATTGTAAAATTTGGTACCAGTACTTGCAGCATATTTACTTGAACGAAAATCATCATCATTACAGACAATCTTGACAATGTTATAAAATGTTTCAAGATAATAATAATAATGATGCTTGAGAACAAGATCAGTACAAGAGGAACGACATTTGTCATTTTAAACCGTTTGTTTTCGCTGGTCAACATGAGCTTTCTGTTAATCTATCCATTCATTTTGAAAACCCATATACTGTATATGGTACTCACTGATCAAGCAGATCAGACATCAGATATTAGTATCCCAGGTTTGTAAGACTTGCCCCCCTGGCCCTTACTAGGGGAAAACAAATTCTATTCGTGGATCTTTAATGCATTACTAAACATTTTACAACAGATCCAACAAATAACAAATATTCATATTGCTAACTACACAACCTAGAACAGTTTTTCAGTAATATTTTACCTTGGGTGATGGCTTGGATACTTCAACATGTGGCTGGGGTGCTGGGGAAGCATCGATGTTGTTTTGTGGCGCCTGTGCAGCAGCATCCATTGGCAACTCAAATACGCACCGCAATTTCGAGTCCATCAATTGACTCATATCAGCCTCTTTAAACTGAAAATCATTAATTTACCCCAAGTTACAAGAGCAGAGTATTAAAAAATAATATAACTGATGAAACATTTTATATAAACTGGAAACCTCTGAATACATATTAGTAGTCATTTTCAACTTCACACTTAATTTCTAAAAACAAATGGCACAACTACCAGAACCGGCAGCAGAACGTGAAGCCTCACGTATCAGCGTCAGCCTTAAACTCGCCGTTGGAGTCTAATGTAAAGGGCATGACAAGCATTTTGGCTATACAAGATATCTTAATATATTAGACTAGTGAATGCAAATGAAACTAATACCCAGAAACCACTATATGGCATGAAACTGTACAGTATATTATATTAAATGTTCAAGTTAAATCTATGAAAACAAGTTATCTCCACAAGGTTTATCTGAAGATAGGAGGAACATCCCAAACAACAATTTGAAAAAAGATTAAATCCTGTCATATAAGATTCAAAATAAATGTGGAATCATAATAAAACCTCACTAATTTGTATTCAGAACATTAAATTAAATAGATACAGTATAATATTAATCACATCAAGACTATGAAACGTATCCCCAGGCTCATGTCAATACCATTATAGCACCCATCACAATACCATTGTGAAGGGTGCGGCATGGGATGTGTGACAGGAGGGGTGGGGTATGAAAACTGGTGCATATAATTAAGCACAATTGCAGGATGAGACACTCATGGTGTCCCATCTTCCCTGTATATTTGCCATATGACATTTTGAACCTGCTGATGGCTTAGGCATCCACCACCTCACTTGTAGATTGTTTCAACCATCCACAAGGCAATGGATTATCATTCCAACTTTTATGTTTTATTTAAATATATACTCTCAAAAGCGCGCACACACAGATTTAAGCTAACTAAACAAAGCTGCAGTTGAAATGGAAAATTCACTTTTGCAAACAATGGTAAACAGTTGGAAAAAGTTATGTAAGGTGGTGGTGAAAGCCAAATAGTCAGTAGTTTCAAAGCATTATATGGCAAAGAGTATTAGGAAGACAGGACACCAAGTGCAGCTCTCATCCTGTAGCTACACTTAGATAATTATATACACACACAATATATAAATGGTACAAGTAAGGTACAGTAAATCATGCAACAACCGTGAACATGAACTCACTAGAGCATCGAGATTGACCTCTCCTTCTCCAGCAAAGAGAGATTGCACCATAAACTTATGCTTGTTCTTTTCATGTGGATCATAATCGAAAGGTTGTAGCATCACCGCCACGCTGACTGAGCCATGACCCTCCACTATTCCAGAATTTGGTCGAACACAATACCGCCGAGGAGCTGTTGTTTTCACCTGAAAGATGTGTAGAATTGAAAGAAAAATTATTTTAATGGCTACATACTCTCTAATTTTGGGCAAGAAAACTGAGTGGGCTGCAATATTCATCCAACATTATCCTTCTATAATTTCTTAATGCTACAATATCAATTACAGTATTTGATAATGAAGTAAGTGAAGTAACATGCATTCAGTACTTATGACAACACTTTATGAGAACTTAAATGTAATGTTATTGCAGCTTACTGATAATAAAAAAGACCGATAGATTTGTGTTTTTAAGAATGAAAACAGCCCAACTAGTTCCTTCACTTGACCAAGTTTAAATTTAAAGAAATATATATATTTAACACTATCGCTCGCTTTGGACACCAATCACGTCCATTTTTTTCTCTCGAGTCCTAGCCGTGGACAGGACTTGCGTCCACTACAAAAATATTTGTATAAAATTCATTTTTTATACGATCGACCTCGGGATAGTTTCAAAATAAGCGCCTTAAGAATGTGCACAATTTGGTACCATTTGATACCATCGTGTGGCGTGCACGATAGTGTTAATATAAAGCTTACGCAGAAATCACCTTCCTCATAACTGTTCACGCACATACTTTGCAAGATATTTTATTAATGTTATTAAGTGGAACTGAGGGATAATTTAGTAATAAAGAGATGCAAGCACCTGACCAACACACAAAAGAACAGTAGTAAGAAATGTCCACAAAGTGGATATGCAGCTAGTGCCTTTATTGCATTGCTGTAATACATAAATAATAATGAGCAAGTATGTTATTATGCTCTATATCATATATATAATATAAATACATTGCTCAATGTAAATATCTGTTGCTTTCACTAATGCCCCCCCCCCCAATTTTTTTTCTCTCTCTCTCTCTCTCCTTTGTTTATTATCCGATTTTGTTGTAACCTCTACATCCTTTTGAGTGCATACCCATCACTAACTATGTGAAGATGGAATGAAATTTATCAACAAATAAATCAGTTAACTCGCATAACTTGGGACTTTGATTTTTTGGAGGCAGATTTTTTCACAGAATTCAAACTACAGTGGCACCTCGATTAACGAGTTTAATCCGTTCCGGCACCGAGCTCGTCATGTGGAGAACTCATCTTGCGAAACAACAACAAACCTGTCGTAAAAGGTGTCCGAGAACCAGCGGAAACACTCGTTAATCGAGGAAAAGCTCGTAAGTAGAGACAAATGTTCTGCGAGCGACTCGCTTGTTACTTGAAATGTTCATAAATAGAGCCACTCATTAATCGAGGTGCCACTGTACAGTATTTTCTTTGTCTCTTTAGGTCGTTTTGATGATTAGGGACCAATTAGGGCTTTATCACTTATATAAAGTACAGTATACATATATATCCCCTAAATCATTAAACTTATTTCTATCTTGACTTCATTTCAACACACATTGACCTACAACTTTTGACATATTCGAGTATGAATGCCAAACAATATTTATTGAAACAAAAGTAAATTAATAAATTAGAACTACCTTATTCATTGTCAATTACGGGTACTTCAATTATATTTATAACTAGAATTTCAAATTTGAGCCAGTTCAAAAAAATCCAGTTTCTGACCAAGTCTCACCATTTTTACATATATGTAGTGTGCACAGCTGTCTGTTCTACAATCTCTATAAAGTGGAATTTTCACAAACCCTAAGTGTCTGGAGTTATACATTTTTTGTCTAAATTTGGTGTATATTTCAAACTCCATAATGACGATTTTTTTTTTACAGTAAACTATACTGAAAACCTATACAGTATTCTAATTCTATGAAAATGAAGATCCTATGCTATTCTGAGAGCATAGGATAACACCACCAAATGAACAATGATATTTTTATATTTTTAATTTAATTTGAAAATCTAAAGCTTTCAATATTCAATTTTAAAATTACAGTATTTTTTATTTCCTTATTTTTCAAGTTATGTTGGTGATCATTTAGACAAAGTTGGAGCATTTGCTAGTAGATTATGGGAAAAAATTAGAAAGTGTTTGAGCAAGTTTGAGAAACTGAGTTTATGTCCAATCGCCAATGTAAGTATCGCGCAGCTTAAGGGTTAAACAGGGAATAAAATTGTAGGACAGTTTTGTGGTTGGGAGGGGGGCAGGGGGTTAGTTATTTATTCGTAAAAAATTTATCATTTAATAGCAATGAGATTTTAATGAAAATGTAGTCAAAAGCTACAAGATTTTTACACAATTTTTTTTCCTTGGGGGGGGGGGGGGGATATTTAATTTAAAAGAACCTGGCCCCTTAACCACTTAACCGAGTAATCTCGGTCGGCGGGAAACTGCGCCAACCGAGAAAACTCCCGAGTTTTCGGTACCCATTCTAAATATGTACGAGGTTGGTTGTGTACGAAATGGACGCTTAGGACCTCCAGTGAGAGGTAGCCATCTTTGAAAAAATTCCCAGAATGCCCTAGGGCTGCTGGCTGGGTTAGTTCTGAGTGAGCAACCATGGGTGGCGCACGCACCTCTGGCTCCCAAACACCTGTCCGACGCGGTGTTGAAAGATAACGCTCTGTTGGTGAAATTCCAACCTTATTGTTTGAAGAACATAAGGGTCATAATATTGGTGAAGCTAGGCACAATAAGGACCTAACACAAAGGTCAGATGTAAGTGATACAGCACCTATGAGGACGATACAGCGAGCGTATCCAGTTGTAGCGCTGAGCGTTACCCTTGCAATCCTATGCTATCTCCAATTTATTTAGATGATACATAGATGATTCGTTTCCTCTCAATGACTTTCAGTGGAATCAAGCTATTTTTCCAGCCAGACTCAGACTTGGTGTCTGCACCATCATCCAGAAGGCTGCTCCAGTCGTCTTATCTTTCTCTTCTGCAACAGATGGCTTTGTCAAGGAATTCTTCCACATAATTTAAGTGACTCATCAGGGATACATAACCCTAGGTTCGTACACTGAACCATAAAATGGGATACCCTGGCAAACTCAGCACTCAGACTAGACCTATCAAAAGCCAACAAACAATCCAGCTGGAACAGGCCTCTCGTGGACAAAGAAGCTACTGCTCTCCTGGAAATGGCAAAAACACTCGATGACTAAGCTCCCCACCCTTGGAATTTCCTTTTGGCGACTTTTATATCTGCGACAAATACACTTCTTTATTTGCAGCACATCTGTATTACAGTGGCCATTCCCCTTATTGCTCCAATTCTCACATCCATGTGTACAAGTATACACATTTATACAAATAATACACATGGAAAATATTGGAGGGCCAGGTCCCAAATCTACACAATACAATAACAACATAATGGAGTGAATGATATGAAAGGAAATGCAGAATAAACCAGTGAAGAGCAGGGGTGCCATAGGCACAATCAGAGAACACTGTATAAACAGAGGTCAACAGTTATTCAACATCCTCCCAACGAGCATGAGAAACATTGCTGAAACAAACGTGGGCGTCAAGAGAAAACTGGATTGTTTTCTTCAAAAAATGCCAGACCAATCGGGCTGTAGTGGATATGTGAGCCTGTGGGCCACTCCAAGCAACAGCCTGTTTGACCAAGCTCTCAAGTCAAGCCAGTCCCAGGACAGGATTGGAGAGTAGAACTCCCAGCACCCCATCCAGGTACAATCCAGGTAGAAGTGTATTTGTGGTGAAGCAGAACCAGATTAATTCAGGCTACATGGCCTGTATTGCAGAAAATCCAAGGAACACAACATAAGGCATGACAAAGCCAATGACATCATTAAGAAGATCCTTGCTTCTGCCAAATGTCCAGTAAAGGGTGCATGCCTCATTTTCTAATGTCCTATAATTCTGCTGGTTGACCAGATGGCATTATACTATGTCCATGGACATCCGAGTGGACAGTGCTTCGGATTCGTAGTCCTGAGGTTCCAGGTTCGATCCCCAGTGAAGGCGGAAATAAAATGGGCAGTTTCTTTCGCCCTGATGCCCCTGTTACCTAGCAGTAAATAGGTACCTGGGAGTTAGACAGCTGCTACGAGCTGCTTCCTGGAGGTGTGAAAAAAAAAAAAAAAAAAAAAAAAAAAAAAAAAAAAAAAAAAAAAAAAAAGAGGCCTGGTCGAGGACCGGGCCGCGGGGATGCTAAGCCTCGAAATCATCTCAAGATAACCTCAAGACGGAGGAATGTCAGACAACTGGCATGGGGACTACATTTTGGTATCCACCATGGCAGCCACATACATTTTACTTACTCACCCCCACCCACCCATTCACTCACTAACTCTTTATACACAGATGGGTACAGGAACAGATGACTGCTGACTCCTGTTAACTGGCTGAAAGTTTTCCCATCCCATAGTTCATGGCAAGCCTTACTCACTAGTTTTCCATAGAATACACTGTTGGTCAAGCAGGTGTCATTACCACCCACAGGAATATAGTCAATTCAAATAAGTACAGCACTGTGCATGGAAATAAACCACCTGTACAACTTTATTCCTATAGGATCTGAGACTCTTGGACCATGGGATAGGAAGTGCCAGAAGTGTTATTAGTGATCTGGGTTTCAAAGACACTATATCAGTCAGAGTCTTTTTCCAACCCTCAATGTGGCAATCCAGGAGAAGTAATGCCCAGTGCATCTTCTGTTCCTGCCCAGCATCCCAGGAGATCGAATAGATCTACAGCTTATAGGAAACCCTTTTCTTTTAATGATCCTACTTTGTAACTAATCAATTTTAAAACCATTTAACTTTGTACAATAAAGTATAAAAGGGGGTGGTGGAAGCAAATACTTATACAAATTCAGAGACAAATGACAATATTTTTTGTCTGAATGCTCTTTATTTCCTTCTCTGAGGCAATGGGTCCCCACAATTGCACCAGAGGTTCAGAGCACCCTTTATATAAATGTATAACAAAAATAGGTGCTAGGACTCGAGGGCGGTTTTCTTGCCAGTTTGAGTGCTGCACCTTGGGTTGACATTGACAGCTAGCAACATTTACCAGGTATATACAATATGCCAATTTTGAAGACCAGAAGACTTTGTTAAAAATTACATTTAAATTTTTTTACAGGCATTTAGACCGATGTTGATTATGGAGTCAAATATCAATTAATCATTAGATAACCACAAGACTGTAGCAGCAAATTAGCTAACAAAATGGATCTCCAAGGAAACAAGACATTTAAAGATAATTAACACTAACTTTTGAAATTTTGCAAAAAAAATCCAAACTCTAAATTTGCTAGCATTATTTCTTAGCCTTTCACAAAGGAAAATATAAATACTATACCTGTAAATAAAGAATATGTAAATTAGTTTAATACAGCACATTTTTACTAAACACATTTGCTCGTCTTTCTCACCTTAAAACACACTCTCCGTTCCGTGGGATTGCTGAGCTTCAACTGGGATGTGACAACGTCAGTAAAGGGACCTGCAAAATATTAAATACAATACTTGTACTAAACGATTCATGGACATTTAAAATGAAATAACAAAACTTTACAGACACAGCTGATAATTATATAATTAACAATTTCATCGAAACTATGATAAATAAGTACAATATAAAAAAAACACTGTAAAGACCCAGCACTTTCAGGGAAATGAATAAATGAGGTAACCATTTGACCTAAAATGCAAACCCATCACAGTAATAATGAGCAAGCTGGGATCCAATGAGGAAAAGGTTGTGTGAATCAGACGTTTGGGACACTGGGACAGCTAGTAGAGAAGATACGCAATTAAGATTATAAGGGGTGCACTTGTGTACATTTGCACCTATGCTACTATCCTTCTCAAGATATTTTGTCACTAGAGGGACCACATACAGTACAGGTAATTGCAAATGTTACAGTACCTCATATACCAGCAGGTGTAATGGAATGTAGCTGGACATTTAAATGTGATGGAGAATGCTCAGGATTGGGAGAATAGATGCTTGCAGCCACAGGTAACAGTAGCCCAAACAAACCATGGCAATTACTATCTCACAGTCCGATAGATGTCTTTTCCCCCCCCCCAAATATATTTAAGTGTCACACCTTAACCGATCTTTTTATTTGTTTTATATTTATATTTATTTCATTTATATATATGACAAAGTTCAATTGGATTGGAAACCTGTACACTAGTAGACTGATGGCTGAGAGGAAAGACTAAAGAGTCAAAGCTTAACCCCTTGCAAGCACATTTAGGCAATTATGCTTGCCTCAACCATGCTCCGACTCATCCCCGCAACCATCCACTCTGGCCCCACCCACCTCATTGCTCACTAACCCCCCCTTTCCTACCCATAATGTACCCATACCCACACTTGACCTACACAACCCTTTTCCCACCCACTCTTACCCCTAACCTACCTGTCATGTGTCCTCTTGCTTGACACTAGCCTAATTGTGCTCGCAAGGGTTGAACTTGCGAGTCTTTGATCTCACTTCTACACACGTTTTAAGGATATCCTAAGTGTTCTAACACATTTTGTACATTGCAAGGAGGTACGGAGTCTTGTCCTAAACTGCTGCAAGACTAAGTAGCTAAGCAAAATAACTGAATAATTTTTGAGTCCATTTAACAATTTCATTTAGTGAACTCGGCAAAAGTAATTGGGCTATTATCATTATTTTAATTATCAAGTCGACTACATTACTACCATTTTTCTATGTCATTGTTTATAAACCATCAGATAAAGAGCAAAATTATGTCAGTGTTCTAATATCTTAAAAAAAATTAAGTACTGTATCAGTATAGGATTATCGGTCTATTTATAATATCAAAGTACTGCACCAGTACAGTACTGGCATTGGGTAATAAGATTGTATCGATATCGGTCAAAATATCGGTAGCATTACACCTCTAGAGCAAAAAATATTTGACATGGCTAGGGAAAGAAGCATGGACAAATCAACCCCCCCCCTTCCCTCAAACACCCAAGAGGGGGGTGGGGGCAGGCACCACCAAGGCTTATTGAGATTGTATGACAGAATAACAGAATAGGCAGCCATTTGCAAAACAAGAGCTAGGGCAGGGGAAAAAAAAGTGTCATACAGACATCAAACAGGAACAGGCAGAAGGCCAGTTGCACATCACAGTGATGCTGCAAAGAAAATGACAACATTTTACCAAGAAGCCTGCCACCCAACACAAGATAGAACCCAAAGCCCCCCCCCCCCCCCCCCCCAAAAAAAAAATGCCATACATGAAAAACAAAAGCCCCCTCCCCCCCATTCTCTTCAAACAAAGTTGGATCAGAATGGAAGACTGGCCACAAGAATGGTTGAAACACCCTGAAGAGATTTCCTGGCCCCCTTATTTCAGGGGCCTTGAAATAAGCCTAATGTATATGCTTACACAGGCTGCTGTTTCCAACAATGATTATGAATTAATTAACATAGCTGCTAGGGATATATCAGTTTTTACCGTATTTGCCGGTGTAAAAGATGCACCCTCGCATAGGACGAACCCCTATTTTACAAGGATATTTTGTGGTAAATAAATATTTTATGTTCCATTGTACACTTATTGAACGATATTTTAAAGTGGATTTTATACCCTAACTCTTACCTCCTCTAAGATCAGCTGTATAGTTCTTTATATTTTGGGCAAGTGAAACAGGTTGTGAAACTTTGATTTCTGGATGTGATATTTTGTGTTGCCACATCAGGCCACCAGGGCAGTGCACTCGCTGGTGGTGCACCATCACAGCGCTCTAGTTTTGTTGTAATTCACTTACTGCAAATGGCTGACAGGCAGATGAAAGTTTAACAATCCTTTCAAATTTCAAGGAGCACTTCATTTAGATAATGAATAAAGTGTCTTAAAGGTAACACAGTTGTTAAATAATGTATGACATATCAGGTGTGGATTATGTATGCTGGGGTAAGGTGGCGAGATGATGTGAGCTTACTTCATAACTGCCGATGCAGCCTAAGCAATTTTTCGTAAGTGTTACGGTATCGACACCATCACCACAGTATGGAGTGGCGATTTCTGCATCATCTATGGATCTGCACTCCAACTACCAGGTATTGGCAGCAATGCAGACTGTGATAACTGCTTGTTTTCAATATTTTATTATTAGTAACAATATACTGTAATATTTTGGCTTTGTTTCAATATTTTATCATTGGCAACGATTTTTGTGCCTAGCAAATTTACCCAGTACAGTATGCTCCTCCGGCTCCCTAGCTTATGGTGCTCAGTCTCACATCCGTAATATAGCTGCATTAGATGTGATGACGTAGGCTTTCACTACAGGAAGTATTATATTAGCTATATCAATTCTGTTTATTCATCAATAAAATTACTGTACCCAAGTTTATTTTTTGTTTTATTACTGATATATACAAGTTCTTACATTCTTGTACAGCCACTAATACGTGTAGCATTTCGGGAAAGTCCTTCATCCTATGTTCACTGGAATACGACCCCCACGAAGAATCGCTTTTACAACCAAGTACATACCCATTTTACTGTTGAGTTAAACAGAGGCTACAGTTAAGAATTTGCACCCAGTAAATCCTCCCCGGCCAGGATACAAACCCAGGACACAGCGCTCGCAGAACGCCAGGTGAGCGTCTTGCCACTATGCCACGGAGACTGATGTTACAGAATGAGAATTATGCTCGTTGTGTCATGTTTTCCATATAATGTCTTAAATGAAATTTCCAAGCTTCTGGTAGTTTGGCAGGCACTACCCTACTCCCTGGGCACTACCCAGGGAGCCGGTCGGCCAAGCGGACAGCACGCTGGACTTGTGATCCTGTGGTCCCGGGATCGATCCCGGGCGCCGGCGAGAAACAATGGGCAGAGTTTTTTTCACCCTATGTCCCTGTTACCTAGCAGTAAAATAGGTACCTGGGTGTTAGTCAGCTGTCACGGGCTGCTTCCTGGGGGTGGAGGCCTGGTCGAGGACCAGGCCGCGGGGACACTAAAGCCCCGAAATCATCTCAAGATAACCCTCGCATTTAAATTAGTCCCATTCATCTATCTCTCCTCTATGTTTGCAAGAAAGAGTATGCATGTTTTTATGGCACCTTTGTTTTCTTGGCCTTAATTTTTAGACTCCTTGTTCTCAACAAGAATGTTGCAGACTTCAAAAGTCAGATAGTGTTCTAGAAGGCACTTCCTTCTAGAACTACATGCAACATGTCTTTGCACATTTTCTAGACTATTGATGTGTTTTATAAGATTTGGAGAAAAAAAAAGCACATTTGCCCAAAATGCTGTGGATCTTAGTGGCTTTAGGTATAATATATACTAGCTCTATCTAGTAATCCAACATTCTGTTTGTACTTCATTTTGTATATACTTTTACCTAAATAATAATTATTATTAATAAACTAGAAATGGGCAAAGATTTTTAAATGGCTCCAGGGCCTAGGACAAAAGCTGTAAGTTGGATAAATTTTATTGCCGTTTCTCAGGGGCACCCAATATACAACCAAAATGGAATTCAATAACATGCACAACATCCGCCTTCAGTTTAGTCGATTGCAACACATCCTGCTATGCCAGGATGGCCTGTCTACAACATTAAAAAATATTGTGGCACTGCTTTACAGGATAATGACGCCTTCAAAAACCAACAAAACACTTTGACAAGTCAATGTCAATTACCAAACACCTGTCACTATGCCTATGAGTCTAGACTGGACCACCAGTATATCTTAGTGTCAGCTGACCCCAAAAAACTTCTCAAAGATATGACTTCCTCAGGCTTGGAGGTGGAGCATGGTGGAGGGTGGAGCATGGTGGAGGTGCAGGGTTGAGCATGGAGGAGGTGAAGGGTGGAGCAGAGTGGAGCAGGGTGGAGCATGGTGGAGCATGGTGGAGCATGGTGGAGCATGGTGGAGCATGGTGGAGGGTGGAGCATGGTGGAGGGTGGAGCAGGGTGGAGCTTGGTGGAGGGTGGAGCATGGTGGAGGTGAAGGGTGGAGCAGGGTGGAGCATGCTGGAGCATGGTGGAGGTGAAGGGTGGAGCATGGAGGAGGTGAAGGGTGGAGTAGGGTGGAGCATGGTGGAGGGTGGAGCAGGGTGGAGCATGGTGCAGGGTGGAGCATGGTGCAGGGTGGAGCATGGTGCAGGGTGGGCATAGTGGAGGGAGGAGCATGTGGAGCATGGTGAAGACCTTGCTAGCATGTCGTCAGCTGACTAGGCGCCGGGGGCCCTCCACGCCATCCTTCACCCAATATTTACCCCCTTAACTAACAATCTTACTACCCGCCTCGGTTGGTCTTCCAAGGAACATCCCTGGCGGCGCACGTCACACACCCACACGTGTCTCTTATATGTTTAGTTTACTTGCCAGATAAACATTCTCCATCCCTAAGATGGCTCCCATAACGTTACAAGATTACGCCAATTTAGACAAAGTATAACGAACTTACCCTTAAATTTGAGTTCCTGGGACGGGTCTAAGATCAACACTTGTTCCGCTTTCGCCATTTTCAATGTTAATCACAATGGAAAGTTCAGTCTGTACAAGAATTCAAGGGCAGGCCCGCACACAGGGATGGCTAACCGATAACCACAGAGCGCTTGCGCCAAACATTGAAGTGTGACGTCATAATCCAAATCACTCGGGGTATGAGAAGCAGCGCCGAGCAAAACTCTTAATACCACCCACCCATACTCCACCGCCTTTCCTTCAATAACCACTTATACATAACTAGATAAATATATTGCCAAAACCCGTTATTTCGCGCGGTCAACCTAACTGTTATATATTTGTAGCAAATGAGTCCGGCTGGTTCCTTTAGTTCCTAAAATAACTGAGGTTCACACCTACCAAACATATCCCAGTTCCTCCCTGAGCTTCCCTTGCATGCATACGGAACTCTCCGCCCAATATTCTGAATCAAACCTATACCCCAGCTATATACGCACCTTTATGTATTATGAAGAGAAGCAATAATTTAAAACATCTGTTTGAACAAACAAAAGGAGGAATTTGATCCCATACGGTTACAAAACTGTACAGTCATGATGTACTGCATGTGGAGCAGGTGGGATCCAAGAGCTACATAAAATTAGCCATTGTTGAAGCCATTACAGGCTATTAAGGAATAAAAGACGGAAGGAGGTCGAACAGAAAATTCTGGAAAGCAAAGGAACAAGATAGAGGTTAAGTATATGATATTCAATTATATATTTCTATTAATTATAGGCATTTTTCGTCAAGCTCACAGAACGCTCTATCGTACCTATTGTTGATATAACCATATACATTAAACTTTGAAACTAACTTATCACGACTATATAACTTGTTTAGCTAAATGAATTTTGGAGTTCAGTCCCTGAGCTCATATGTGTCACGGAAATAAACGACCTAAATATATGGGGTCCCCTCGTAATAAAGTCAAGAATTGCTCATCATTTACTTTACTCAAAATTAAAAAGAACAAGCACTTAATTTTCTCATCACTGTAACCCAGACTATTGCTATTCTCCTGCTTATGCAAACTGCATTATTAATTCTCCTCCACCTAAGAATCTTGTACTGTCATTACCTAAATGGCAGTTTAAATATACATGTGTATTTAGAAGCTTTATATGTCCACTCATTTTAATTACTTCGTTTAACATGTACTATTCTTCTGCTAACTTACAAATCACAGAACCCGGCAATGTGATGTTATAGTGGCCAGAATACGCCTGGGATATAGACGTATCTGGCAGCTTTCTCAAAACCCAAATGTCGAGTACACAATGTATCAACTTTGTGAAAGAGAAAACATGCACTCCCTTGTAACATTATATTGTAGAATGTCCCATACTGACTGACTTTCGCCCTCCTGGGCTAAGGTATGCTGAACTCTGCAATTACTATATGAGTACTGGAACACTTGATAATATATTTTGCTTGTACCCAAGATTGACCATGTAATGTATCAATTATACAATGTATGTATGTGATGTAACTATATAACCTGAGCTTGTAAAAACACCTTAATCACCTTCAGTGATTAAGTGATTAACTGCACACTAGTTTCTCTATCAGCTCTCACCCTGTCAGAGTAAAAGAGACAAATGTATGTGAATGCATGTGTGTGTGTATATATGTATATGTACGTATATGTGTGTGTGTATGTATATGTATGTGTATAAAGTATATATGGAAGCTGATTAGAATTACATTTCACCTTTGTAAATGTACATTAAAGACACTATGTAAAAGACACATCGAACACTTTATGTAGGGCATACGTAATTCTGTGTATCTATGTATTTACGTATGTAGGTTAGCTTAGCATTTTAAAAGCACCGAATCACCTTCTGTGGTTGTTCAATAAACCCCTGAACTATATGTTTAACACATTTCTAACCCTGTCCATGGAGGACAGAAGAAAATGTATATATGCTGGTTAGCATTGTAAATATGTGGCCACGTCTGCGGTAGAAAATAATAATAAAAAAATCACAGAAAATTATCAATGATTACGTCAACTAATTTGTTAGCTCCATAAGTTGGCCGAAACGGCGTGCATGTAAGGCCTAGTAACCCTCGCATTTAGCTTCCAAATTCGGGGAAATTCCCACAAAGTTGGAAACTGAATTAACCTCTTTATTGTGTGTGTTCTTGTTTATACATTATCTCTCGTTATCTTTGAAGTACTGTATGTTGATGAACTTTTATTATTGTCTTCTTGTGTATATGTAGCTAATCTTGCTATGTATATATATGTATATATATATATATATATATATATATATATATTATATAGATATATATATCCATCTTTTTAGATGATGATAGAGTTATGACCCCGAAAAGTCCATAGATTTTAAATAAACTGAAGACGTATATCTTTTCACTTATTATACTTATTGTAATAAAATTTAAATTTCCAAGCGAATCCAGTTCTGAAATTAAATAATATATATATATATATATATATATATATATATATATATATATATATATATATATATATATATATTAAATATGACCGAAAAAGTAAGATTAATAATTCTAACACGAATTTTCTCAATCTTTCGTACATTACGCTTCACTGTTGGAGGTAAATCAAAAATCACTTCTCCAAAATTCATTTTTCTCCAAAATTCATTCATAGAAATAAAATGAATTTTGGAGAAGTGATTTTTGATTTACCTCCAACAGTGAAGCGTATGTACGAAAGATGAGAAAATTCGTGTTAGAATTATTAATCTTACTTTTTCGGTCATATTTAATAATATATGTCTACAGGAAAGACTTAATATATATATATATATATATATATATATATATATATATATATATATATATATGTATGGGGTGGTATGAGAAGTAAACACTCATACGTATTCAGAGTTAAATGGCAAGTATCTTCCTGAATGCTCTGTGTTCCCTTCTTCGAGGCTATGGGTCCCTACCAGAGGTGGTACCCCGATGCATATCCAGAATGTTAATTATGTAATAATTAATGGATTTTTTTTATTAATACATGAGGTACATCTGCATTTGTGCAGCTACCCTAGACTATAAGGAGTACAGTGTCAAAAAAGCTAACTAGGTGATGCTAAAAAATCCCCGTCACACAGGATGGCTAGTCATAAAGAGGGATGTGATAGGCAGTCTGCACTGGCAGACTCCGGATGCATTTTGAGGATATCATCAACACAAGAGTGAATAAGATAGCAATAATAATTAATGTAGACGCTATAAAACTCTATGGGCTCGGTGACGACCTTTTCATTTTCACGGACTTCATGAAGTGTGCTATGGAAGCTTTAAAAGGGAGAAATGGGGCTGACCCCGACCCGTCTAAGATAGTCTTCTCCAACCCACCAGTAACCCGGCTAAGTTCAATGAGGCTAGCCTCAAACATCTTTATTTTTATCGGAGGCCTCCGCTAATATGTAAACTGTATTACAGTGTCTTATGCCAATACTGGGCGGAGCCTACACTAGCTGAACGAATATGTTCTCATTTCTGTTAAGATACGCGTCGGTAGTTAAAGTCTTACTATGGGCTCACCATAGCCCGTGTTACCTGGAACTTTTTGTTTCAGGTAGCGAATCTTTAACAACAACAACAGTTAAAGTCTGTTGGGTTAGAAGTGAGGTAGCGAAGAGCGAATCCTGAGAAGTGCAGAGATACTGCCAATGATGACAAAAACATGACGCTCAGTTGCCTCATCTATTGTGGAACTATGGCTATGTATGTTAGTGCAAATATGTACTTTTTTTGCAACTTATTGTGTGTGTGTATATATATATATATATATATATATATATATATATGTCGTACCTAGTAGCCAGAACGCACTTCTCAGCATACTATGCAAGGCCCGATTTGCCTAATAAGCCCAGTTTTCATGAATTAATGTTTTTTCGACTACCTAACCTAACTTAACCAAACTTTTTCGGCTACCTAACCTAACCTAACCTATAGAGATAGGTTAGGTTAGGTTTGGTAGGGTTGGTTAGGTTCGGTCATATATCTACGTTAATTCTAACTCCAATTAAAAAAATTTACCTCATACATAATGAAATGGGTAGCTTTATCATTTCATAAGAAAATAATTAGAGAAAATATATTAATTCAGGAAAACTTCGCTTATTAGGCAAATCGGGCCTTGCATAGTAGGCTGAGAAGTGCGTTCTGGCTACTAGGTACGACATATATATATATATATATATATATATATATATATATATATATATATATATATATATATATATATATATATATATATATATATATATATATATATATATATATATATATATATATATATATAGGTGTATCTTAGAGTGAGGTTTACCCTCACTTATAAATGTCTAGACTTTTCATTGTAAGCCACAACGACTACTAGGAATACAAGTGCAGGGAAGCAGGACGGATCCTTCACATGGTCGTCCCTCACGAACGCCTCGACTACGGCACCTTGAAGGAAATTCGACCAGATTACCAACTTCGGGGAAATGGAATAAGGCGACCAATCCTCTTGTAACACCCGGACATCTCCCCCCTAGACCGGCCGACTGTGGCCAGCCCTGTTGACTCCTGTGGCACTAAGCTGTAAGCAACGTGGGTGCCCCCATCAATCCACCGGTCTGACTAGTGGATTGGATTGGTGCCACGGACCCCATCCACAGATCTCCTGTATCAGCTATTGATACAGATAACGGCTCCAAAGAGCCTCCACTCACGGGCTCAACATAGCCTGTGCTACTTGGAACTTGTTCCGAGTAGCTGAATCTAAAACAACAACAGCAGCCTTGTAAGCCAGTTACAGCCCCGCTTCTGTGCCAGGTAAATCCACTACGGGCTCACCATACCCGTGATACTTGGAAGTTTCTGTCCAGAGTAGCTGAGTTTAAAGCAACAACAACCTTGTATGCTCAGTATACCTGTCAGTTCAACGGTGTACTCCTGAAGATGTCACATTGCTGACGGAACGTCGATCAATATAAATGGAAAGATTAAGCGATCTAGTGTTTCTTAACCCTTCAGATGGTAGAAGATGTTTGCGTAGAATGGAAAATATCAAATATTCAGAAAAAATATATACACACGTACAATACGTAGGGTACCTGGAGGTGCCTGGGATAGTC